GCCGGCCGTGCTGCATGCGCGTGGGGCAGCCGTATGAATACCTCACTTGCCCTACACATGCGAGGGTGAGTCATGGGCCAAGCCGGAGCCGGTTTCGGAGTGCCTAGGCAAAGCCCAATGACCTAGTGGCAAGCAATAGAACCCTCTTACAGTCTCTAAAACCCCGCCAGAACCCCATTCTGACTGTGCCCCCAGTTTAGGGTATGGGCATGGAAGTGCCTGAAGGAGGAAGCCGCTGGGTTCCACCATGAGTCCCCGAAGCACGTTGATCATGCTCCTGAACATGGTGCGACTGATAGCACCAAGTCATGGAATTTTTGTTGTTTGCAACAGTGTTGCTAATCTGTGTATTACAAGGGCCTAGATAATCTACCAATACTATTCTTGGGCTCATCGTCATAGCATAATGGTTCCCAAAACCCTATTAGAATAACCTGGGAACCCAAAATAGTAGTCCTTATACACTAAAAAGGAACCCTATTCTAATTACTGCCTATATTAGGCCGCGGGCCAGCCAGAGTCGGGTTGCTCTGCGAGCACTCATGAGCTTAGTAGGAAATGGGGGAATGGATCCCTAAAGTAGTCCCTCTATAATCCCTATAGTAGTCCGAATAGCCCATTCCCCCATTCCCTACTAAACCCTAAACCCTAAACCGCTAAGCACCAGACACTCATGGTCATCCTTCAGGAGCCTAGAATTCGGTGCGAGGGTTCAACTCTCTGGGGCTTGGCTTCAGGGTTTCGGGTTTGGGTTTTGGGGGGTTTAATGTCGGGACCTAAAAAAATTACCAGGACCATTCTGGGGCTCCTTATTACAATTATAGTATGACATACCCCAAACCCTATTCTAATTATTAAGGCCCCTATATGAAACCCCTCAAGCCTAAACCCTTAAAAGACAAGTTAGTATGAAGCACGTGGCCTCTGATACCGTGCTTGCCGACGTGATCGCAAAGGCTTGGGAGGAGTCTCCTGGTAGGCGATCCGACTTAGTTGGCGGTTTAGGGTTTGGGCTTAAGGTCTTCATCTGGGGTTTGGGGGGGAGGCTGTGGTCAAGGACTTAGTCTACCAGGGGATTGCGCCTGCATGCCTTTGAATACGCCATTGGCGGACCCCCGATGCGTGGAGGATCAACGTGAAGGCTAACCAAGGGGCCTTTTTTAGTTACCTATACCATTCCGGGGGTCCTTATTTAATTTATAGCGCAAAGGGCCCCAAAACCGTGTTCTAACTATCAAGGAGCCTATAGCAGGTTCCAGCGGGTGTCCTAAAGCCTGATTTTTTTCTGGGAGCAGCTGGCAGCTGCCACCTGGGTCCGAGGAACAAGGTATGAAACAACTCTTACTTTTGGTTAGTAGGGAATGGAAGAATCGTAGTAATAGTAGTTATAATTATAATTGTACCCCATTCCTCCATTCCCTACTAACCACGGGTAAGAACTGGGGATCTGTACGATTAGGGGTCTTTGTTTGGGGATCTCTCGGGTCCTGATAAGAAGGATCTTCGTGGTCAAGATGTGCATCGGACCCAGAAAAGCCAATATCCTTTAATTAAGGAATATACCTTAAATCACATTAGGGATCCTATTATAATTGAGGTATATTCCTTAATTAAGGGGTATTGGGATCTGTGGGGAGTCATTGTTTCAGAAGCTCCCAACTACGACCAAGGATTTGGAACAGCAGCATCAACGCTGACATGACGCCTGCAGTGTCAAGAGCAATGCCACCAAAGCCGCCATCCCCAACCCCCCAAACCCTGAACTCTAACCGCATATTAAGGACCCTTTCGGGAACCATCAACCCTAAACCCCAGGCCCTAAATCCAGAACCCTTACTCTTTGGGCCTCTCGCGGGCGAAAACCCGAGCTTGAAACATAAGGAGCACAGCCCGCAGTATTTATGCTAAAGCCCTACGCCCAAAATCGCAAAACCCTACACCCTGGGCCCCAATATTTTAACTTCAGGCCTTCCCTGAACCCTAAACCCTCAACCCTGAACGCTAAGCCCTACTATGAGGGCCTCAATACTTACCTAAACCAACCCTGTTCTCATTGCTAAGGCTCCTACACTAGGCCTCACACCTTCCTGCAGCGGGATCCCGCTTAGCAGAAGCAGTCGGGATCAGATGGCCGGGCTGTAAGTGCCACCCCGCCGTCTCGTCCCTGTTTCGGCACTCCTGCGCGTTGAGGGTTCAGGGTTTGTTTTTGGTTTAGGGGTTTAGGGTTTGTGGGCTTGGGGTTTATGGGTTCGTAGCTATATCTAGTGTTTATGGGTCTAGGGGGTTTAGGGGGTTGAGGGTTCAGGGTTTGTCTTTGGTTTCTGTCAAGCGCAAAGTAACCTCAACCCCAAAGTCAAGAAGCCAGGAAACCCTGAATCCAATGGACTCTCCGCACAAAGCGGGGGCAGCGTGGATCTGCCCAAGAGACGTGGTGAATTCGAAGCTTCGGGCATTTTCACGGACTGTACACCCTGAAGCCTTGAAGCCCCCAAGTCCTAAACCCTAAACCCCCCACAAATCGAACTTCGATAGTTCTCCTTGAGGTAGGGCGTACAGGCCTGAGCCGCCTAAACCCACACGCCCCAAGCCCAAAGCCCTAAACTCAAGCAAGCCGCCTAAACCCTAAACCCTACGGTCCGAATAATGCCCCGAACGCCTAAGAAAAGTCTGAGCCTCCCATCTGGCGCGCTTGTCAAGGAAAGCCCGGGATTCGATCCGGAAAGCCCAGGATTCGATCCGGGAAGCGCCAGTGTTTCCAGCTGCTCTCCATTAGCCGGTCTCGTCTGGGCAGGGCATTCTGTAAGAATCGTAGAAAGTTAACGTAGGGGCCTAATAATCAGAATGGAGCTTTGGGGGCTCCTTGCTATAATTTTAATTGTCGTATAAAACATACCACCAAACCCTATTCTAATCATTCAGGCACCTACAGTAGGGTTCAGGTGTAAGGGTTTGAAGAACATCGGAAAATTGGAAATCGCATTCTGTTCATGGACCAGCTCCGTGGAAACGTATGCAAGGATGGATGGAACTACAACCACCACCACAACCACCACCACCACCACCACCACCACCACCACCACCACCACCACCACCACCACCACCACCACCACCACCACCACCACCACCACCACCACCACCCACCACCACCACCACCACCACCACCACCACCACCACCACCACCACCACCACCACCACCACCACCACCGCGACTATTACTGCTACTACCACTTCTCTTGTTGCTACTACTACTACTACTACTACTACTACTACTACTACTACTGCTGCTACTGCTACTACTACTGCTACTACTACTACTACGACGACTACTACTGCTACTACCACTACTACTGCTACTGCTCCTACTACAGATGAACAGACGCACCCACCCACGCACACACGCACACCGCAAATACAACACTCACATATAAGCGCGTGCACATACATCTTCGTGTTATGCATATTTGCTTGTGTACCTCTAAGTGTGCGTTTTTCTCTATTGTTAGCCGAAGGCGCGCTTCTAGCTCACTTAAGCTGATCAGAGCGCATGGTGTTTCTTGGTCTCGATTCTCGATCGAGGTGTCTTGCCCGGGCCTGCCATGCAGTGGCATCATATCGCCCCCAGCGAATCAAAAAACTACCACTGAACTTGCGGCTGTTCCAGGGGTCAGGGTTCACCTTCAGGATCAAAACCGGAAGGTCCGTCATAGGCTATGAAACTGAGGGTGGGAGTTATCTAGAAAGAGAATTATGGCATCATGATGAACGATGCTTTGTGTTTCGGGCCAATCTCTAAGCAGGGTAGGCGGCACATTCCAAACAGTACGATAGATTTTGCAAAAATTGCTGAAACAGCTTCGTCGACTCTCCATGACATGATTGCAAAACCGGAACCACGAAGTTGGATCATGATAGATTCTTCTTTGGTGTCGTCTTGTCATCAGCGCAGTTTTCGAGCTTTCGGGCTTTCCAACGTCGAAAATCGTGGTTCTCTCGTGCCATTTATGGACATCGTGCTCTCTCTCTCTCTCTCTCTGTCTCGCCTCTGTAGTTTCGTGCGACTGCAAGCCAGAGAATCCTTTTAGTAGACTGGGCCCAGCAGTTTGGTGCTTTCGGATGTCTTCAACATCATGTTGGATTGTTGCTTAGGGTTTGGTTTGTTTCGGGCTCGGGTTGCTCGTCCGCAAGGCTAGGATTTAGATGATGTGGGTACGGACTCAACAAATTCTGACATCAGACGGCCAGGCACCCCCAGCCGACTGACTACAGTGTGCATGCTGCTGCCATCTTTTGCTTCTAACCACATGCAGCAAGATCAGCATGTTCGGCATGGTAAGGCTTCAGCACCGCTATATGCCCTAGGGTTTGTTCAATCACCGCACATCCACCCTTTCGCTGACTTCTAGCAGGCTCGCTGGTTGTTTTTCGGAGGGCTGCGAGGGGTTTGTGATTGCTGAATCATTACACTTCTTGCTGCCACTGTACTATTTACTGCGGCTATGACCACTCGCATTGCTGCCACTGCCAGTTGTAATCATTCTTGTTTTATAGTCTTCCTAATATTTCTGTTGTCCATACTATTACCATTGTTTATGCTTTCTTTATGACTGCGACTATTATCACTACTGCCTCTTTTATGTCCACTAGTTCGGTTGTTCCTATTGTTTCTTTTTGGTTTCAACTCTTACTGCGAGTCATTGCTGTTAATATTGTTGTTCGAACCAGAAACACGAACTCCGACAATTGCTTAGACCTCAACCCTAGCGCCGCCAACCACATGCCCGAAAGTCCTAAGCTTGAAAGCGTCTTAAATCTCAGAGCCCCCGCCCCCCGACCGAACCCTAAACCTCAACCCCCAAACCCGAAACCCCAAGCCTAAACGCCAAACACTAAATGCGAAGCGAATATACGGAAGTTGAACCCTAAACCCTAAACCCTGGAGCTTAAAAAGCAGCTGAAAAGAACACCCTAAACCCTAAACCCTAAAGAGCTTGCCTGCAGGTATGAAGCGATCCTCGCGGGCTCTTCTCCTCCTGGGCGCCTGCGGCGCCCTTTGCTGGCAGGCCTGGATTGAACCAGGGTTTAGGATTTACTGTTTAGGGTTTAGGGGGTCACCAGAATTAGGTGCTTGGGTTTAGGATAGTAGTTATGTAGCTCAAAATGTAGGAGAGTATATGATTAATTTTTTAGGGGTCGGTGCAACGTTGACGAAAGCCACCAGCAGAGAAGATCGGAATTGCTACAAAATAAATCTTGATTTCCTAATCTAGGCGCCTAATAAAGCAGTAGTATTCCCTTTGTAGTCTGTACACGTTGAGCCTATACAGAAATTCACATCGACACCCTTTTTTCACTGCCAAGTCCCGAAGGAAACCTTAGCCCAAATTAGACCAGTTTTATGGTATATTCCGAAGTTCTTCGGAAGTGGCGTTCGAAAGGCTTTGGACAGTTGGCATACACTTGAGTGTACCGGAACCCAAGATAACATGTTGCGATATAATCGAGCAGTCAGTACTATTCACCCTTACAATCCGCATACGACCACTGCCAGTATAATATGCACCCAAACGCTACTCTAAGTATTACGGTCCGCAAATTAGCTCCCATCTGCACTTCTGGAAAAACAAATTCTTCTGCTCTGTTTCTTATTAAGTCTTATTCTTCTTATTCTGACTATTTCCAATACTGCTGCTGTAGTAGTAGTAGTAGTAGTAGTAGTAGTAGTAGTAGTAGTAGTAGTAGTAGTAGTAGTAGTAGTAAGTTAGTAGTAGTAGTAGTAGTAGTAGTAGTAGTAGTAGTAGTAGTAGTAGTAGTAGTAGTAGTAGTAGTAGTAGTAGTAGTAGTAGTAGTAGTAGTAGTTGTAGTAGTAGTAGTAGTAGTAGTAGCAGTAGTAGTAGTAGTAGTAGTAGTAGCAGTAGTACTCGTAGTAGTAGTAGTAGTAGTGCTGCTGCTCTCTACTACTGCTGCTGCTGCTCCTGCTGCTGCTGCTGCTACTGCCACCGCTACGGCTACTGCCACTACTACGATTACTGCTTCGACTACGACTACGCCTTCGACCTCGACTGCGAGTACTATCGCTTAACGTAATATTCCAGGCGGCTTTCCTCGCGCCGTCCGAGTCCGGAGCTAGCCGCCGAGCCGTTCTCTCCGTCGGGAGCCTGGCGTAATGCTGGGGTTTCGGGGTTAAGGGTTCGAGGCTGGATTCAGGGTCTTAGGTTTCAGGGTGTTGAGGTTTTAGGGTTTAGATGCTGGGAGGCTTAGGCCGTTCCGCAATGAGGGGCTGAAGTGGCTTACAGCCTTAGCATTCGAACACATCGAGCTTGTGGGGTTTAGGGTGAAGGGTTCAGTTTCGGGTACAGTCTAGTAGGAATTCTTCAGTGGAGTTTGGGGTGTTTGGAACATGGTAATCCTTTTCTCGAACCCTATTATAGAACCCTTGAAGGGGGCCTGCCATAGAACGCTTGAAGGGGCCCTCAATGATCTCCCCCACCCCAAATTCTAAACCCTATTCTAGGGATATCCCATATAAACCCCCTTATAGTGAAGCCCAGCAAGGTAGGGATATCTGTAAGATTATTATGCTTATGTCTTGTTTGGGTCCCTAATATTCGGTCTTGCATACATTACGTCGGAAGCCCGACGCTTCTGACATCTACCGCCAGCCATAGGGTCGCTCAAGACTTGATGCCAGGGAGATTCAAAACCTTCTGAGCCCCAAAATGCAGGGTTTAGGATGTCGGATTTAGTGTTCAGCCCTAAACCCTAAACCCTAAGCCGAAACAGGCAGGGTTCAGGGCTGAAAGCCCTCAAGCCACAGAGACCTGAAAATTCCGAGAAGCCCAGAAGCCCTGAGCCCAGAGGCCTGATTTAGGGTTAATGAGCCTCGCGACTTAGGGTTTCGGGTTTAGCCAATGATACCCGCATGTAACATCTGGAAACCCTTCTCGAAACACTTGTAGAAGCTTGAACCCTTATAACAACCCGAACAGCAACAAAGCCTGTAATGTCATGAGGCCGCATCCATGGGCTTGCTGGGCACCATGGGCAGCTCGCCGAGCTTTGGTTGAGGGGCGTCGGTTCTGGCATTTCCACAGAGAGCCCACACACTTTGGACTTCATAGGTTTTCGGGGTTTATATAGAGTTTCAGAATTTGGGTTAAGAGTTTTGAGTCCTTGATGAAATTCACACATGATCGCACAGATTCTGGTCAGAGCTACTTGGTCATGCGCCCCCGAGGTCAGCAATTAGGTGGCACATCAAATCCTGGTTGTGAGAATGTGTCGCAGACACGAGCGAGTATGAAGGCATGCCTGCAAACCTTTGCGACGGTGGTGAAACAACTGGCAGCTGTGAACTTGTCGCAACCCGAGTAATAGAGAAGCTGGAGCAAGAATTCCTACGGGTTCCTCATTTTTGATCATTATACAACGACTACGCCATTCTCTCCCTCCCTTCACTAAAGAGCAACGATTTCTGAATAGTCTGGCCCCCATATGTTTCCGAAAATAGGGACCCTGAAATTCCCTAGATTGTAGGATCCTTACTACAGGGCCAAATATTGTACCCTAATTTTTTGGGAAACTCCCAACACCCTTTGGGAGCCCTTTAAAGGAACCCTTATAGTACCCTTGTAGTAACCCTTTAAGGGAACCCTAAGGTATCCCTGAAATTTTCCGAAACTCCCACCGGTGGCCCTTCAACCCCGAGCTTCCCGAGCTCGAAACCTGCCGGAATCTCGTTAGCCCACATCTCCCAAGCCTGCCACCAGCTACTCTTAGGGTTTAGGGTTTAGGGTTTAGGGTTTAGGGTTTAGGGTTTAGGGTTTAGGGTTTAGGGTTTAGGGTTTAGGGTTTAGGGTTTAGGGTTTAGGGTTTAGGGTTGAGGGTTCAGGGAACCGATGTTCCTGCCTCGAGATGGCTTTAGGCCATGACCGAACCGAAACAAACATGCATGGCCATCATCTCCTAAGCTCTGAACCCTCAATCCCTACACCCTCTGAGCCCTAACCCCCCCTAAACCCCCCTAAACACTCTAAGCCCTAAGCCCTTCCCCCCTAAAGAGCTCAGAGTCCCGAGCACCCAGGTGCAGAGACCGCTTCGGCTGCCGACTTCTTCGGATTGCCGCACCTCGACAGCTATGAGCCGAAAGCCTGTGTGCCAGACCCCCTAAACCTTAAGCGTTTAGACCCCCAAACCCCTAAACCCCTGCTTCACCAGACTCCCTTTATAATCCCTACATTAACCAAGACCTACTTTTTTGTCGGGTCCCTATTCCTCCCCTATCAGCGTTTATAACAAGAACCTATAAACAAAGAAGGGTTTGGTAGGTTAAACCCTAAACCCTAAACCCTAAATCCCAAACCCTAAACCCTAAACCCTAAGCCCTAAGCCCTAACCCCTAAACTTAAGGTAAGGTCTACCCCTCAACCCGAAGGCTTCCGCGTAGCCGAGGCACATTCCGGGGCCCTTCGAGATGGACCCGAAGGAGGCTGTGGTCATCGGCCCCTCGACGAGTTTTTTTTTTTTTTTTTTCTGGGGTTTGGGCTTGAGGGGTTGAGGATTTAAGTTCTTGAGGTTTTGAGGGTGTAGGTTTTTTCGGTTGGAGGGCTTAGTTTCTGGGCGGTTTCTGAAGGTTTGGGACTTTGGGGGCGGAAGGTGTTTGTGGTTTCGGAAGTTTTGGGCTTTGGGATTTCGCGGTATTTTACCTTAGCGGCTATAGCGGGTTTGTGGGTGTGGATGTGTGGGTTTATCGGTAACACTGACAACGTGCACTGCCAGGGATCCAAAGAAAGGATGCTAACTAGAGAACTCTCCATACGGTAGGCTTTTTGCTCTCTTTTTGGGTCCTTGCGGCTTTTTAACCCAAACCCTAAACCCTTTCAAGCCTCAATCCTAAACCCCTAAGCCGCTAAACCTCTAAACTACACCAGTAAACCCTAAACCCTTATTCCCTAAGCTATGCATTGGAGCTTGCACTGTTGGTCCCTGCTTCTCGGCCTGGCAAAAACAAGCACTGGTGCTTGTGGTGTACGCTTTGGGGTCTAGGGTCTAGCCTCTGAGCCAGACGTTACGCCGCACTCCTACCCCATCCGATTGCCAGAGCATCCATGTGCCGACCATGTTTCCGTTCCCACTTAAGGCATCCATGACGTTAGGCCGCACTCTGACCTCATCCGACTGCCGGAGCATCCACTGCCAGCACATCCATGTGCCCACCATGTCAACGTCCACAAAGACTCTGTCCGTTCCCACAACGCATCCATGTGCCAACCATGTTAATGTCGACGTAGCCTCCCTCCGTTCCCACAAAGCATCTATGGGCCAACGATGGTAGCGTCCAGATCAGACTCCATCCGTTCACCCAGAGCATCCATGGGCCAACGATGATAACGTCCAGATAGGGCTCCATCCGTTCCCACAGAGCATCCGTGGGCCAATCAGGGTTTAGGGTTCAGGTTTGGGGCTTAGGGTTTGGGGAGAGTCTGGTGCCTTGGATTTTCCAGCTTGAGGCTTTAGAGTCCTGTGCAAGTTAAGCGACAGGACTTTCAGCCCTCTGCTCTGAGCCCCTTCGGAAACAAGTGCCTTCAAACCCTACCGCTCTAAAAGCCGAAGCATTCAAAAACTTAACTTGAGCCCAAAAGCCCGTGGCGCCTTGAACTGAAAGCCCCTTAAGCTTCAAAGCCCTGTAGAGGCACCCTTACAAAGCTCTCATCTTAACCTCTCTTTAGTCTGTGCGACTTGTTGAAGCCCTTTTGCCTTAAGCTCCTAAACTATACACCGTAAATTCTCAATTGCAAAACCCTGAACGCTAAACTCCAAACCCTCAAAGCCCCTAACCCAATAATCCCCTATATAAAGCCCCTAAACCCCTAAACCCCTAAACCCCTAAACCCCTAAACCCCTAAACCTCTCAACCCTAAACCTCTAAACCCCTCAACCCCTAAACCCCTAAACCCCTCAACCCTTGAACCCCTCAACTCCCGAAGCCCCTAAACCCTAAACCCCCAAACCCCTCAGGGCTCCAAGGCCCTGGCTCTCTGCGGACCAAGGCGATGCTGCGGATCCGCAGGTGAAGGATGCCAAGGCCAAGGCCGTCCCATGGGTATGGGGTTTAGGGTTTACTAGGGGTTGACTAGGGGTTGGGGGTTTAGGGTTTTGGGGTTGAGGGTTTACGGTTTTGGGTTTAGGGGTTTAGGGTTTAGGGTTTAGGGTTTAGGGTTAGGGCTTAGGATCTATAAGGGCTCCGTAGGGTCTAGGGCTCAAAATTTGGGTAAATGGTTTAGGGGTTCAGACAAGCTTAGGGTAGGGTTTAGGGATCCTTAAAAGGGATCCTTAAAGGGATCATTATAAGAGGTCTATAAGGGGTTAGGGTGTAGCGGTTAGGGTTTTCAGGGTGTTTAGGGGTTTTGGGGTTCAGGAAGTCTAGGGTTCAGTGATTGAGGGGGTTCGGGGTTTAGGTCTTTGGGTCCCTATTGTTCAGGTCTGAGTATGCAGTAGTGCCTCTATATGCATATTATATAGCTTGTTGACCCCAAAACCCCGTCCGAGTTATTAAGGCACCTGCTTCGAGCCACCCCAGAAACGTATCGAAACCCTACAGAGAAAGTTATGTACGCAACTTTATGCTTTTCCATCCAGTAAGATTTGTCCCCCAACAATGTGGTAACATTGTGGTTGCGGGTGTAAAGAGAGCTGATAAGGTGGCCGTGTGGCTCATTGGCGCGAGAAAATGGCTCCTGCATTCTATTCTTTACATTATGCGGTGCGAATTCGGTTCGTGCGTCCCTTTATTGACCCAGGATTCGTGCGATGCCCAGCTCCCGCTGTGGTGCTGTGGATAGTTGTCGCTGGTGTTTGCAGAGGATCTGCACGGCGTGGCCGTGAGCTCCTGCGGGCTTGATTCCCTGCAAAGGGCGATACATGACCGCTTTGTGGCCTCAAACACCTTGAACCGCAGCAGTATTTGGGGGAAAGCGCTCCCGAATCCGCGTGAATCCAGGCAGTACTTGAGGGAACGCATGTCGGCCGTTCGAGTAGTCTCCCCACAATCTGTTGGTGGGCTTGGGTGGTCTCTTGGGGTTTCTTGGTGGTCTTTCGGTGGTCTCCTGGTGGTCTCCTCGCGATCCCTGGTTGTCGTGGTCGGTCGCCGCTGTGGTCCTCGTGGTCATGGGCTTCATGGTCGTCATGGTCATCGTGCTGCTGTTGACCATCATCACCAATTATGCTCTATTGTGATCATTACAACTATCATCGTGTTTACTTACATTACTGCTGTATTCTTATTCCAATTAGTCTTACTGTTTGAGGATTCTCTACGAATCCAGGTCCTGGAGCTGCAGACTCAGGCAGAGCAAGCGCTGGACATGATCCAGAAGGACCCCCAGGCCGTCCTTATATTCTTTAGGGGTTTTTAAGGGTTCCTTTAGGGGTGCCTGTAGAGTTTCCTTTAAGGGTTCTTTATAGGTTTCCCTCAAGGGGTTTCTTGAATTAATCCGGTAAGGGCCTATGCCAGACCTTAAACCCTAAACCCTGAACCTACCAGTGTTCTTCAGGCTGTTAGGAAGGAGGAAACTCCCAGGCCCTTCATCTGGGCTTGGGTTTCTTTCATGTAGAGCGCCAAAATCCTGAAAACCCAGGTGCTAAAGTCGAAGACTCAGGCTTCTCGAGGTCGGGGATCAAAATGCTGAGCCAGAATCTTATCGATCGTTGAATTTCGGGTTCTCGCGTTTAGGCCAATGGTTTTTGGTACCGGAAGCCCTACTGTTTGGGTGCTTGGTGTATCCGTCTGGCCCGGTTGTGGTCCGGTTGTCAGCTAGAACTCGGTTCTTGAGCCGTTGAGCCTGCGGTGACCGGCGCAGTCCCAACTATACGAGTTATCCAGGGGCCGGCATAACTAGTCTTGGATATGGTTCCCACTCGAGTCTGTATATATCTGCACCACGATATCCCCACCAAACCCTCGTCTAATCATAAAGACCGCTGCAGTATCAACGGCTCCACAAGCATTCTCCAACCAAAAGCAACCATACCATGAACTCAACAATCTCGGGTTGAGAAATCGGGAGCTGAGCCGACAAGTTTCCACGCACAGAAAAGGCAGCAACGGCAGGGTTTGGGGTTTTGGGGGTTTTGCGGCAGGGTTTTAGGGGGTTTGGGACCCTAAACTCTAAACCCTTTCGGGGCGACCCTCAGGCTGATCTGAGCTTCATGGTCAAGGAATTCGGCATCGGCGACCTGCGTGATGCCCTGCCCTGAAAGGGTTTGGGGTTGATCTTCAACGCGGTATACGCCCTGAACCCTAAACCCTGGTGGTTTGTGGAAATGAGATAAGTTGAGTGCAACCTGGTTTCAAGGTGGGGAGACGAAGGAGCTGAATAATCAGTTTAAGTCGATAGTCCGGCGAAGAGATGCGCCTTGAAGCAGGAAAGAGCACAGCAAGCTACGAAGCCAAAAGCCAGGGCGTAGAACCCGTTGCTGGTACCATCTGACACCATTCGCAGAGACCGCTGTCAGACGACACGACGGGAAAAGATGCGTCCAGCAAGGTTTGTAGTTGCAGCGAAGACTTACATGGGCAGCGATCTGCTACTATGCGCTCATTGATCTTGAACCCTCATACCCAAAGCGCTTGAACCCGAACCATATGCCCGAAACCAATATACCCTAAACCCTTGAAGCCCCAGGCAACGAATGTGATTAATGACATCATGGACGACAAGACTGCTGCGGCGACCCAGCGCTGGCAGCGTTTGATGATCCAGGCGGCTGCAGCTACCTCCAATCCTAAGCTTTCAAAGAGTGCAAAGTTCCCTAGGATACAGTAGTTGGCTGGTGAGTACGGGCTGTTGGTTTCTTGGACTCTGCGAACTTAGCCCCAGATTCTAGCTGTATCGGCCGTTCTCAATGAACCCGTTGGGTTACCACAGTACCATCAGACCTTTATACCCTTTTACCACCAATCCCTCTTACAACCATACCATAATGCCATAATACCACAATACCATATCATGCCCTTAGACCCTGAATTCTAGCCGTAGAGGCCTTTGTAGAGTGAACCCCTTCTTGAGAAGGCCAAGTACCAGTGGGAGGATGACATCCCTTTCCCGGTGACGAAGCCGGGGATCCCAGCTGGCTGAGTATAGGAGTTTAGGGAGTAGGGCTCCTTAAAGAGATCCTTAAAAGGGATCGATGAGGGGTTTACGGAATTCTCGAAGGCAGCCTTCGGAGTTCCAGAAGTCACTCCCAAAATGAATAAACCCACAACCCAAAACCGCACCAGAACCGTCCTGATCCCAAAACGACCCGCAAGCCTCCGAACGCAACGCCCAAAAGACACTTTGCACTCTGAGGCGTGGTGTGCAGAAGCCCCGGGGAGACAAGCGCAACGAGCGGATCATCTCGTCCTTGAAGAACTACATTAGCGGCTCCAAGGACCCAGAGCCTCCAAAACCCCTTAATTAAGGACTAGACCTTAAATTATAATAGGATCCCTAATATAATTCAAGGTATATTCCTTAATTAAGGGGTTTTAGCGGCTCCAAGGACGTTAGGATCTTTAGGCGGTTTTGGAGTTAGGGTTCTTTGAAAGGGACCCATAGCGGTACTATAAGAGATCTATATGGGTGTAGGGTTTAGGGTTCAGGGCTTTAGGGTTTCAGGTTTAGGAGTTCATGGTTCGGGGTTTAGGGTTTAGTAGGGGTTTAGGGTTTAGGGTTTAGTAGGGGTTTAGGGTTTAGGGTTTAGTAGGGGTTTAGGGTTTAGGGTTTAGTATTGGTTCAGGGTTTAGGGCTTAGTAGGGGTTTAGGGTTTAGGGTTTAGTAGGGGTTTAGGGTTTAGGGTTTAGTAGGGGTTTAGGGTTTAGGGTTTAGTAGGGGTTTAGGGTTTAGGGTTTAGTAGGGGTTTAGGGTTTAGGGTTTAGTAGGGGTTTAGGGTTTAGGGTTCGGGTATAGAGTTCCGGATTTTTGGATTCTCAGCCTGGGCCTTGACACCTGGGTTACATGAGGGTTCTGATTCTGACAGATCCAGTTTCATGTGGTATACACCTTCAGAGATTTCCCACGGTTGATGATGTAAATCCTGCATGACCCATAATAGGAACATATCGTAGTTCCCTTAGTTTAGGGTCCTTAAGGTAATGCAGGATTTATATCATCAACCCTAAACCCCTCAAACCCTATAGATCCCTTAAAAGGAGCCCCTTAAAGCTACCCGTATAGATCCCTTTAAAGGAACCTCAGGATTTGTATCATCAACCCTAGAGCATCCTGGGCCCGTTGAGACCGCCTCTGGGAGTTACAGCAGCCAGCCGAGAACAGCATGCCGAGAATCAGGGCGGTAAGGGTTCTGTAAGGGTTCAATAGGGGTGAAGACGGGTATCATACGGCTGATGGTATAAATCCTGCATTACCTTAATGGCCCTAGACCCTAGACTATGGAAATTATGGTCTATTCCTTATTATGGGTAATGCAGGTTTTATATCATCAACCATACTAGAAGGACCTAGACTAGAAGGATCTAGAGGGCTCTAGAGGGCTCTAGAGGTGTATTTTGCATCTGTAAGATGAAGCCGAATGCCGTTGGAGATGAAGCCAAGGCAATGGCAGAGGTCGGGCCTGTATTAGCAAGGACCTCGGATGTGGAGAGTGTCTGGGAGAGGCCCTTGATACGTACCGGCTTCGGATTTTGAGAAAGCCCTTTACATCCTGATCGAAATCACCAAAACTCCAAAATCATCAAACCGAAAGCCCTGGAACTGTCTATGAAATCCTTGTCAGCCTGCGACGCAGCTCTAAACCCTTATATAACCCTAACCCCCAAGAAGCCTCTAGGAGCTACTCCAGTTCTTCTGAGATGGCATCACGCTTGCAGCTCCGAGTAGCCTACCGAACGGCTTCAGGTTTGAGTTCTAGGAATGCTGAAAGATTGTTGACTTGGAGTTGCGGGATCTCAGAGAGTTCCGGTAGTACGAGGCTTTGGGTTTTCGCTATGAGGCGGATTTTCCGCCCTTCCTTTTCTCGGCCGTAGCCTCCGTGCCTGCTTTTCGGTTGATCACATAAGGAGGACCTCAGGGTGTCCGAAATGCAGGGTCCGTTTTGGGTTCAGGTTTTTAGTTTTCAGTTGTTTTCTTTTTGTTAAGGATCCTATTGGTTCAGGCTTCAGAGTCTCTCGGCTTCGGTCCTCTCCTGTTCCCGGGCCCTTGTGCCCTTGTGCCCTTGTGCCCTTGCGCCCTTGTGCCCTTGTGCCCTTGTGCCCTTGTGCCCTTGTGCCCTTGTGCCCTTGTGCCCTGTGCCCTTGTGCCCTTGTGCCCTTGTGCCCTTGTGCCCTTGTGCCCTTGTGCCCTTGTGCCCTGGTGTCCTTGTGCCCTTGTGCCCTGGTGTCCTTGTGCACTGGCATCGGGCTTGTCAAGCTGGTATGAAGTTTCGAACGCCTCGCTTTCGTTCCTGTTCTTTTGCTGATGATGCCAGGATGCTTAGAGCATGTGGATTTATGTTTATATGTGTACATGCATATATTTACCTTTATATGTATGTGTATATAAGTATGTTTGTATGTATGTTTATATATTTATATGTTTACATGTGTACATGTATGTACATGTATATGTGTACATGTATATATATATATATGTATATGGAGCGTGGGGGCAATGGGTGCAGCACCTCACAGTTGCGCGGTGCGTCGGTGCATCGCATGCAACTCGGTTGCGCCGATGCGCCAGCCAGTGCGCCGTTGCGCCGCTGGAACACGGATGCGCCGATGTACCGGTGCGCCGGTGCGCCGACCCCCATGGATGTGCCGGTGCGCCGACGCCGGCTGCGCCGCTTGCGCCAACTGCGCAGCTTGTGGAGCCTTGGACTGATGGGGCGCCCCTGATTTTAAAATCAGAACTCTTACCACCCTTGAACTCCGAGGATGGAGCCTTGGACTGATACGGCGCCCCTGATTTTAAAATCAAAACTCTCCCCACCCCTTGAACTCCGAGGATGGAGCCTTGGACTGACGGGGCGCCCTTGATTTTGAAAAAACAGAACTCTTACCACCCTTGAACTCCGAGGATGGAGCCTCGGACTGATAGGGCGGTCCTGTCTTTAAAACCAGAAGTCTTATCACCCTTGAACACCCCTGATTTTAAAATCAGAACTCTTATCACCATTGACCTCCGAGGAAGGAGCCTGGGACTGATGGGACCCCCTGGATTGAAAATGAGAACTCTTATCACCCTTGAACTCCGAGGATGGAGCCTGGTACTGATGGGACCCCCTGGATTGAAAATCAGAACTCTAATCACCATTGAACTCCGAGGATGGAGCCTGGGACTGATGGGGCGGCCCTGATTTTAAAATCAGAACTCTTACCACCCTTGAACTCCGAGGATGGAGCCTTGGACTGATGGGGTGCCCCTGATTTTAAAATGAGAACTCTTACCACCCTTGAACTCCGAGGATGGAGCCTCGGACAGATGGGGCGCCCCTGATTTTAAAATCAAAACTCTCACCACCCCTTGAACTCCGAGGATGGAGCCTTGGACTGACGGGGTGCCCTTGATTTTGAAAAAACAGAACTCTGACCACCCTTGAACTCCGAGGATGGAGCCTTGGACTAATGCGGAGCCCCTGATTCCAGAATCAGAACTCTTATCACCATTGAACTCCGAGGACGGAGCCTCGGACTGATAGGGCGGTCCTGTCTTTAAAACCAGAAGTCTTATCACCCTTGAACTCCGAGGATGGCGCCTCGGACTGATGGGGCGCCCCTGATTTTAAAATCACAACTCTATTCATGTTTATATGTATACATGTGTACATGTATATGTGTATATGTGTATGGGTAATTATGTATTCTTGTGTAGATGCATATATTTAGATGTGTATATATGTATATATGTATAAATGTATATATGTATATGTGTACACGTGTCTTGTGTATATATGTGTACGTGTACATATGTATATGTGTATGTATGTATGCATGCATGCATGTATGTATGTATGTATATATTGCTTGATGTATGTTGCTGCATTCAGGGGCGGCCTTGAGGCTATGTTTGATGGGGCCATGCTCAAGTTTGTTCGGGGAGTGCTTGAGCACAAGGGGACCACACACCTGTGGAGCCAACCATTTTGGATGGCGATGATGAGTCGATGGCGGGAGCCTGCACGACAACATGATTGTGCAGAATTCCTGGAGCATTTTCTGCGGGAACAACGGTTTACTGCGGACCAAATGACGCTGTACTGGCAAGCTCGCTCCTCACGAGTTGGAGAGCCAATGATAGTGGACGGGGGTGAGTCTGCGCCAATCCTCATCCAACCTCCTGAGCGAGTGAGTATAGACCACCTGTGCAGTACAAGTGTACAAGAACTCATCAATGAGTGGCGAAATCAAGACTATGCACATGCGGCCACAGTCCCGCCAGAAGTGCTAGCCATACAAGTGGGGCGCTTTCGTCACCAGACTGCCGAGGGTTGCAGTGTGAAGCGCCGGTTCGCTGTGATTCCTGAACCTCGCATTAGGCTGCCGTGTTTTGTTGATGGAGTTCAAACTACTGATACCATCTTCCACCTTCGGGCAGTTCTGGTACACCAGGGCCTCTCTCTCCAAAGTGGCCATTACACTGTGATTATGTTTGACGGCATTGACAATTGTGATGCTTGGATTGCTGACGACGATAGGCAGGCGTATCGTGTGAATTATGATGCTGTTGCTGCGTGTTTCCAAGATATCTACATGCTGTTTTATACGAAAACGAATGGCCACAGCGAGGTTTTGCTTTAGGGCATACGTGCCGAAGACCTCCCCTCCTGGGAGGGTGCTATCAGATGTGCAATGCACAGCACCAATAGTGTGCCGGGCTTTGAAAGCTTGTCTGCTGTTCCGTTCGCCGAAGCTGGATCTTCTGCAACGCCGAAAGTGAAAGTGAAAGTATGTATATATATATATATATATCAAAATGTATATATGTACATAAGTAATTATGTGCATGTTTATATACGTATATGTGTATATATGTATAGATGTATATATGTACATCTGTACTTTTGTATATGTACATACATATGTATGTTTTATACGTGTTATATGTATATGTGTACATATGTAGAAATGTATACATGTGTATATGTATACTTGTATATTTGTATATATGTGTATGTGCATTCGCGCTCTTGTGCCCTTGTGCCCGTATGCCCTCATGCCCTTGTGCCCTTGTGCCCTTGTGCCCTTGTGCCCTTGTGCCCCTGTGCCCTTGTGCCCTTGTGCCCTTGTGCCCTTGTGCCCTTGTGCCCTTGTGCCCTTGTGCCCTTGCCGTGCCCTTGCCGTGCCCTTGCCGTGCCCTTGTGGTGCCCTTGTGGTGCCCTTGCCGTGCCCTTGCCGTGCCCTTGTGCCCTTGCGCCCTTGTGCCCGGGATCACTGGGGGACCTCTCTCGAGTTTAGGGTATACAGAACATCTGAGATCTTCGGGCCCGCGTTCTTCATACTTCCGGTAGGCACGGAGTGCATGTTGGCTCGACCGCGGCGTGCTGCTGGCACAGACATGCAGTGCTTGACAAGACGTCCTGATGAATCTACAGCCCTTGTTGCTTTGCTGCATCTTAAGTCCTGCGCCCTACGCCTATACCCCAAATCTGATTCGTTGTCTGTGCTCAGCAGCGCACCAGTATCAGACGAGATTTTCGACTCTGGAATGCTTCAGCAAGCCCCAGCGCATCGTGACAAAATGAAGGTTCTCAGGGGCTACCATCGGGGCCTTACTGGTTACCGGTACTATTTTGGGGTTTCCATGATATATTGTAGTACAGTATACCCCAACACCTTATTCCAATTATTACGGCCCCTAACATAGAGCCCTACTACAGATCCCCTACAGACCCCTTTAAAGGACCCCTTACTGGAACCCTATTCGAATTAGTAAGGCCCCTATATTACAGGCCACCAAGGCCCGGCAGATTTAGGGTTAATGCAGTGCTGGATCGAGGGTTTAGGGTTTGGATTCAGAGTTGGCGTCATGGGTTTAGGGTTTAGGGTGTTTAGGGTGTTTAGGGTTTAGGAGGTTAAGGTTTAGGGTTTAGGGTTGCAGGGTTTTCGAGATATATTTTAAGGTTTCCCTTCTTTCGCAGGCGAAGTGAGTGAGGCGCACTGCACCTATCCGCATCAATCCTCACTCTTGTACATCTGAGGATACGAGCATGGAGCATAACAACTGTGAGCATCGGAAGTCGTAATTCCATATAGTGTATATTGGGCCCCAAACCCTATTCTAATTATTGCGCCCCCTGCATTACGGTAGTGTTTAGGGTATTTTGCAGGATTATGCTAGCCAGGATTGGGTAGGCTTGAACAACTCGACGCGGCTTCATGTCGATTGAAGTGACAGTTGGGCTGCTCAGCGGCAAGACAGCCAGTGTGAAAGCCGACTTGGATGAAGAGTTGGGAGCACTGCAGCATCGCGCGCAGGCTGCACTAGGAGTTGGAAGGGGGCGGCTCGTGGGCTCATCTGGTATCGTTCTAGATGCACGTGCACCAATCATGAGTGCCAGGGTGCAAGATGGTGATTCTCTAGTTTTGCATGTACATACAGTTCGCGTTCAAACCTCTGGCAAGGCTTTTGCAGCCATTCTTGGCGACGGATCGGTCGTCACCTGGGGTGCTGCTCATTACGGTGGCGACAGTAGTTTTGTGCAGGATCATCTGAAGAATGTGCAGCAGATCCAAGCCTCTGGCAGTGCTTTTGCTGCCATTCTTGACGACGGATCGGTCGTCACCTGGGGTGCTGCTCATTACGGTGGCAACAGTAGTTCTGTGCAGGACCAGCTGAAGAATGTGCAGTTGATCCAAGCGTCCTGCCACGCTTTTGCTGCCATTCTTGGCGACGGATCGGTCGTGACTTGGGGTGATTTGATTGAGGGTGGCGACAGTGGTTCTGTGCAGGATCAGCTGAAGAATGTGCAGCAGATCCAAGCCTCTAGCAGTGCTTTTGCTGCCGTTCTTGGCGACGGATCGGTCGTCACCTGGGGTGCTGCTCATTACGGCGGCGACAGTAGTTCTGTGCAGGATCATCTGAAGAATGTGCAGCAGATCCAAGCCTCTGGCAGTGCTTTTGCTGCCATTCTTGGCGACGGATCGGTCGTCACCTGGGGTGCTGCTCTTGTCGGTGGCAACAGTAGTTCTGTGCAGGATCAGCTGAAGAATGTGCAGCAGATCCAAGCCTCTGACTGCGCTTTTGCTGCCATTCTTGGTGATGGATCTGTCGTCACCTGGGGGCATGCTCACCGTGGTGGTGACAGCAGTTCTGTGCAGGAGCAGCTGAAGAACGTGCAGCAGATCCAAGCGTCCTCGGGCGCTTTTGCTGCAATTCTTGGCGATGGATCCGTCGTCACCTGGGGTGCTGCTCATTACGGTGGCGACAGTAGTTCTGTGCACGATCATCTGAAAAATGTGCAGCAGATCCAAGCCTCTAACCGTGCATTTGCAGCCATTCTTGGCGACGGATCTGCCGTCACCTGGGGTGATATTGACCTTGGTGGTGACAGCAGCGCTGTGCAGGATCAGCTGAAGAATGTGCAGCAGATCCAAGCCTCTGGCAGTGCGTTTGCTGCCGTTCTTGGCGACGGATCGGTCGTGACCTGGGGTTCTGATCAGTACGGTGGCGACGGTAGTTCTGTGCAGGATCAGCTGAAGAAGGTGCAGCAGATCCAAGCGTCGTACGGCGCTTTTGCTGCAATTCTTGGCGATGGATCCGTCGTGCCCTGGGGTGATGCTGAGAGCGGAGGCGACTGCAGTGCTGTGCAGGATGGCCTGAAGCCCGTGTAGGGGGGTCTATGTGGGAGTTTCCGAAAATGGGGGGCACCTTATTTTGGGGTTCTTAAAATAAGGATCCAACTATTCAGGGTACTATACTAGGCTCCCACTTTTCGGAAACTACCATGTCGTGCAGGTTCGCAGTGGCACAAGACAAGACCTGCGCAAGCATTTGCAGACATGCGTCGGCAAAGTGCTGACGAGGGTGGTAAAACCCCGAAACCCTAAATCAGCCTAAATGCCAGACCCCCTCAAAGTCCTAATGAGCTACAGAACTCGAAGTTAGTTGGGACGCCCCAAGTGCAAAAGGTTTAGGGGTTTAGGGTTTAGTCCCAGCATACTTTTCAGTATTGTATAGAGGTCTGAATACTGAGCAGTGGTATTTTAGTCCGTGCGCAAGTCTATTGTAATCTTCACCCGTGCCTTCACCGCATAGTTGCAAGAAGTCGCATTGATGTTTGCTTACATCTTGGTCATGCGAGTCCTGCAACGCGGATGCGTGCTGTGATAACATGTGGAAACTGTTAGACGGCACGCATCTTGACCCCTAAACCCTAAACCCTGAACCCTTGGCTAAGTAACAAGCGCCAAGGGCCTAAACCGGAAACCTCAATCCATAATCCCTGGCCTTTCGGCTGCAAACCTATTCGCTCTAAGCCCCAACATTAAGCCCGTAACCCCAAGTTTGTCTTTGCGCTGGGTTGCTGAAGAGCAGCTGCTGCAAGCTCCCCTTGGCTTAAGCTTTGCAAGTAGCCAGACAGAGGTTGCGAGAATGGTAACTGCCTCGATTTAGTATATTATAGTATATTGTAGTATATTATAGTATATTATAGTATATTATAGTATATTACAGTATATTACAGTATATTATAGTATATGATGGTAGTTTACAATATATTATAGTATATTACAGTATATTATAGTATATTGTAGTATATTATAGTATATTATAGTATATTATAGTATATTATAGTATATTATAGTATATTATAGTATACTACAGGAAAAAAGTATATTATAGTACATTATAGTATATAATAGTATATTATAGCATATTACAGTATATTGTAGTATATTATAGCATATTATAGTATATTATAGCATATGATAGTATATTATAGTATATTAGAATATATTACAGTATATTACAGTAGATTATAGTATATGATGGTATATTACAGTATATTATAGTATATTGGAGTACAGTGTATTATGATGTCTTCCGACGAGGATGTCCTGTTACTGTCTGCAGAGAGCTTTCAAGACCTAGCCCAGGATGGAAGGGGCAACATACATGGTTGGCCAGTGATTGAAATCTTGATTGGGGAGTCTGGATGAGTACCGATAACTAATACTGTTCGGTAGGAACAGTTCCTTATACGATGAGAGTACAATCGACCCCAAAAGCCTGTTCTAAGTGTTATGGCCCCTACATTTTTCTTGCGCGGGGTTGTGAATGGCTCATTGAAACTAAAAGGTTTAACGACGCGGGCGTAAGTAAGAGGAAGGCATTTGGTAATTTGGAGAAATGCAGAGCTGCTTCAATGTGACAAAACTGCGTCGCGAGCATACTAGACGCCTTTGCACATGCATATCTTCCGGCTCGCCACGGATTTGGATCCGAATTATCCTGCCAATGCTGCTAGGTGGTTATGTCTGGGTTAGACATCTACGGATACTTCGTTTATCAGTACTGGTTCTCATCTTTATGATTGATTGACGTATGCCGATGATGTTGAGCGAAGATGATGATGCTCATGTGCTTGCCGTGGTTCACCAGGCTCACATATCATTCAAGCCCGTCATTGCCGATCCACCATGAATCTGCAGGCCTTGAAGCTTCAATCTTAGCCGAGCGTGTGTGTTGACAGCCATAGTCTTACCGACATGATGGTTCTGAGAGTTGCTATCAAGAGAGTTGCTATCAAGGCTTCTGTTTGCGGTGTAGCTGTTGCCACTATGACGCATCTTGGAGCACAGGAGGCTGAGCGACATGTTGTAAGTTCTTGCGGCCACCATCATGGAGCACCTGCGCCAGACCACAAAGGATATCGCGGCTTGGGCACGTCAAAGTCAAAGGAAGCTTTTGATTGCAGCCGCTGGTTTCCCGTCTTCGATTGGACCTTTCGAATGTTGCGTGTGTGCGTTGGCCCTCAGACGCTGCTAGACAACATGTCTAATTACGAATTGGGGTTCCGATCGAAACGCAGGCTATGTGTTGGTGTTTTCGATTGGCCTATGCTTCTTCAATGCGCTCTTCGGTGGCGTCTACCTGTCGATTTGGGTTTACGGCGTGGGCCGTTTCGTCGTGAAGGAGGCATCTTGGTGCAGGCAAATACAGGGGTTTGTGAGATGTTTAATAGATCCCTATTTGATTTCCCATCATACCTATCATCCCCATGTGTTATTGTCCCTATATAGCTAAGCCACAGAGTCTACCTTTGTAGTCCCAAGGCAATTATGTCACAACACACCCCAGAACCTTCCTCTGATCCTCAAGGCTCCTAATGTTTGTGTATAGGGCATCTACGAGGTTTTGCAAGAACTCATAGGTTTGTTTAGGGTTTGATGAGGCGTTTCTGGTAGACTAGGGTTCTGTGTATGCTCTTTGTAAAAAAGCAATATGGGGACCACAAGAGGATGCCGCTGCCAAATATTCAGATCCTAAAGTAGGGTCAGTTGAAATCGTAGTGGTCTCTTGGAAGGAGTGCCCGCACACTGAGGGACCATAGTCGAAAGCCATCTCTGCATGTTATGGAAGACCTTCTCTCGTGTGTAATGCAATGACGTTCTCATCGTCATTTGTGTATCTTTTCCGCCGTTCTTCTTGCGTTTTGGGTGTTGGTCTCTGTTGTTTCAGCACAAGCGAACATCATACCGCCCACACCGAAAAGCCACACAAACCGCCAGTGTAGACCCCCTCATTAATAAACCCTTCCCTTTATGATGGTTTGAGTACATTACACCCTAAACCCTAAACTCTAAATCCTAAACCCTAAACCCTTAAATCCTGAACCCTGAACACTGAAATCCTGAACCCTAGACCGGACCGAGGAGAATCCCTGGCCTTTGCCTTGTCGCATCATTGTGGCCGTCATGATTTTGATCAGCACGGTCCTTGTCGCGCTCATTCCATGGCTCTTCTTCGGTGGCGAGGACCTTAAATGGGGGTTTCCGAATATTAGGGGTACCTTAATTGGGGGTCCTTAGAATAAGGATCCTACTGTTCAGGATACTATATTAGGGTCCCCTATTTTCGGAAACTCCCAAATGGGGCTTTTGGGTTTAGGGCTTCGGGCTTAGGAGAGTTTGCTGCTTTTTGGAGTTTGAGTCAGCAAAACTCGGGTCCCTCATGCCCTAAGCCCTGAAGTACATCTCTACCCAAACCCTAAACCCTCAACTCCTAAACCTTAAACCCAAAGCCTTAAGGCCGAAACCTTAAAAGGAGGTTTGGGGCTCTGGGGTTGAGGGTTTAGGGTTTGGGGGTTTAGGATTTAGGATTTGGGGTTTCAGGGTTTTTATAAAACCGTAAACCCTTAACCCTAGACCCTAAACTCTAGACCCTAAACCCTAAACCCTAGACCCTAAACCCCACCCACGCCTGCTTAGGCCGTACCCACCCTTTTTTTCAGGGTGCCTGGACCCAGAGAGGACATCCGGCAGTGATTGACATGGGTGGAGCCAATGCAGAGTGGTCGAATTCATGCCATTGGGCCACCTAGGTGGCGCCCATATTCTGTCCACTTCTACCTCCCTTCCTGGCTTCCGGCCCCCCCTTCCCTCCCTTGGCCCCCCGCTCCGGTTGGAAAGAAGGCCCAAGCCCCTGGCCCAAAACACTTTGGCGATTGAGGGCGAACGCCCTAAACCCTAAAAGGTAATATTTTGGGTGGTAGCCTGTGTGAGCTCACAGGGGGCGGGAAAGAAACAGAAACCAATTTGTAATTGTTTGGTAGTGGAATCGCACTCCAATGCTAGACGTAAACATCCCCCCCCCACACCCCTGGGAGTGTTGGGGCGCCATCCTACATAGAAATACTGCCGCTGCGCGGCGAGACGCCCTAAACCCTAAACCCTGGACCCTAGACCCTAAACCGGATTAAGGCCAAATAGTGCTGGGATTCCCCATACATTACTCTTAAGGATTGAGGCTATTGGGTTTCCAACTTTTGGGCTTCAACTGTAGGTCAGGCGCAGAGGGGCCTTAGCGGTTCCTTATAAAGGGGTCTACAAGGACTATATAAGGGGGATGGTGGGGGTTTAGAGTAGGGGTCGAAGTAAGTAATTACCAATACTATTTCGGGGGCTCGTGATTAAGATTATGGTGTAATATAGCCTAAACCCGATTATAATTGTTGGAGTGATTTCAGCATGAGCCCCTGCGCAGAATGACACACATGCAGGCCTTTTTGCTCAGCGTATATAAAGTTGTTGCGTGCCTTTCGGGGTGTAATTTCAGGGTTGAGCCTAGAGTCCAAAGCTTAGGTAGCCAGGTTCCTCTAAAGGCCCTTCCTCGGTAGCACCTCGAAAAGAGGTTAGGAGCCCAAGCTCCCTTAGGGTTTCCTTAGCTCTACTTCGTAGGCTTAGGCCCCTAAGTATCGCCCTCCGCTCCCCGAACTTTGTAAGTCTAGGCTCTAAATCCTAGCTTAGTCGGGTGTATCTAAGTGCTGAGCTTGTAAGTTCGTAAGTGTAGATCCCCTCGAACACCATGGACACCTCCCTTCGCCGACGTAGGCAGGACAGGCAAGAGCCTGATGCCCAGGATGTGGCTCAGGAAGAGGCCCTGGCTGGGGAAGATGCAGGTTCTCCGACTGTACATCCTTTCTGGTCGGAGAGAGCCAAGGCGGAGGTTGAACTTCAAAGGGCGAGGCCTTCAGGCTTGGATGCTGAAGGGGCCAAACTTCCGGAAGTTCGGGTTGATGAGCGTGAAGATCATCCAGCCTATGAGGAGGGTCCAGGTTTGGGCAAGGGAAGGGGTGCATCAGCGCCTCCAGAGTCAGATGTTTTGAGGGCCGCTTCTGGAAGAGCGGATGGCCATTCTAGAAACAAGGTGGATGGTGCATCAAAGGGTCAGGAGTTTTTTCTGGAGCAGGCCCAGCAGATCCGGGGATTCAAAGAGCTAGCAGCTCAAGGACCTCCAAAAGCTACAAGCCCCACGGAGCCCCTGGATCTCTTGTCTATGTCGCCTGTGAAGATGACTCCGGAAGAACTGAACCAACCTCGGTTTAGACCTCATACAATTCCGGAAGTGGACGGGCCTATTTACCAGCCTGAGCGCGAGATCCTACACCCAAAGCCGTTTGTAATCCTGGAAACGGAAGCGACTGGAAACCTGCCGGAGCTGCAGCGTGGGGTGACAGAACGACTGCCGCTGGGTGTTCAGGACCTTTCGAATTCTGGAGTTCCTGCTTCGGAAGTTGGGGATTCCTCCAGGATTGGTGGGCCACGGGCTATGGTGAGGAGTTCTGCAGGCTCTACGCTTCAGGAGGATTCGTCAACAACCGGAGTAGGGGCTTCAGAAGGGAAGGTTCTGAACAGGTCTCACCTCGAACTCGATTCTGTTAGTGCGAGGGTAGGAAACGAACGGGCTGAGAGTGTCAGTGAAGGCACTGCAAGGAGGTCTATCCCTCTGTCTCCGGAAGCCCAGAGATCCCAGAAGAGTTCGGCCTACGAGATCCCGGATCCCTCAGAGCAACACTTCGAACTAGTTAGACTACGGTCTTTAGTTGAGCACCTCCACGATAGGCTAGAGAAAGCTGAGGCTGAACGTAGTACGAGAGGATCCAGATCTTTTGGGTCGGCCTCTTCTGGGCGTAGGGTAGAGGAACTAGAGCTCAAGGGCCAAAGGGTAAACTTTCAGTCTGAGGAGGGTTATCCTTTGCCACCTCTGCCTCCTTTCGCCTCTGAGGGGTGGTCTTCCTGGAATGCTTCGGACCCCCTTCATTCCACTCACGACCTGGTCTTGGGTCAGGAGCCTCCACGTCAGTCCTCCCTCGATATGGATTTTGGCCCATCTGTTCATTCCCCGATGGTTTTTCCTGGGGACATGGTGCCTTTGACTTCAACTGCGAGTGCTCCTGGGGCCACCCTATCGCCTTCTGAGGTTCCGTCTATGGACTTTGGACTTCACTCTTTTACAGGGCCCCCAGGAGTCCAATCCTCCTCAGGGATTCCCAATCCCGTTTCTCTTTCCGAGGTTCCTTCGATGGACTTTGGACTTCATTCTGCCGCGGGTGCTGGACCTCAGTACTTCGCTCTGTCTCCCCGTGCCCAGTTGCCGACTTCGTCTGGGGTAATAAGGGTTATGGGAGTTAATCATAGCTGGAAGGTGGTTAATGGTTCGTTGGTTTTAGAGCCTGTGGACTTCGTCCCTCCTCCTCCTCCGCAGTGGACTTCGCCCTTGGTCGCAGCTCCGCCCATTCCTGGGGCGTGGAGCAACAGTCCATCTCCTCCGAAACATCCTGCGTTTGGAGCACAACTTCCAGTGCCATCCTGCCATGCTGTCTCCTCCTGCGCGGGAGCGGCAATGCCTCGATACCAATCGCCTCCTCCGAGGCCTCCTTCTTCTACTCCGCCCCCGAGCCCACCGGCCCCTTCGGGTTTAAGTCTTCCCATAGCTGCCCCGCCGGTTGGAAATAGTGGCGGGTTGATGTTAAGGACCTTAGGCCTGAAGCTGTGGGTAAACACGTAAGTTCCCTCCCGTCTCTAGAGGCCTACAACCCTAACAACCCCACCGCGCTTGGAGATTGGATCGCAGTGGTCCAGCCGATGATTTCTTCACTGTCAGACACCGGAAGTGTCTGGTGGGGTTATACATACCAGGCGGCCAACCAGGCCTACGTGCGGTGGCTCTCCACTTCCCCGCTTGAAAGGCTGTCGATCCAGAAGGAGTTTGATCAAGTAAACTTGGTGCAGCCCCAGCATGCCTTGCTGGAACAGCGATGCGTGACCTTGATTCTTCAGGCAATCCCGGATGCTGTGAGGGTTGACATTGTCGCCTCACGCCACCTGAGTGTGGCAGGAATGATCTTTCGTCTGATGACGGTGTTTCAGCCCGGGGGAGCGTCAGAACGATGAACCATGTTGCGTTTTTTGGTAACGCCAAAGGCTGCTTCCACTTTGTCGGAGGCTGCAAAGCTGCTGAGGCAGTGGACCCAATGGCGGATGCGCCTGAAACAACTGCATGCAGCAGAGCCTGACACTACGCTTCTGGTTAAGGGTTTAGATGTCCTGACAGGAAAGGTGTTGCAGAAGCACTCCGCGAGCCTCTTCCGACTTGCCACTTTCCGTGAGCGGCTTGGGGTTGACTACCAGCCGACCTCCGACGCTGTGTCGGAGTTGTGTCGAATGATGCAGGCGGAGGTTGAGCACCTGACGCACTCCACGGATGACAATCCTGTGAAGGATGAGGTTCCAGGCCGAGGGGATGATGCTAAGAAGCAGCGCTTGCAGCGCTTGCAGACGTCTCCCAGTACCCCGAAGGCCAAGGCTTCTCCAGCGGGACCCAAGTCGCCGGGTGCAGGCATGAAACCTTGCAGGAGCTGGCTAACGGCTGGCGGTTGCATGTACGGGTCGTCCTGTCAGTTCTACCACGACCAGGATGAAGACAAGATGCGGGGCCGATGCTTCTGTTGCAGTGCCGAAGATCACTGGGCGGACTCATGCCCGGTGAAAGCCAGGTTAAAGGCGGAGGCTAAGGCTGCCAATGAGGAGTCCCCTTCCACTAGCCCTAAGACACCAAAGGCCCCTGCCGAATCCTCTCCGAAGGGTAAGGCTAAGGGTAAGGCTAAGGAAGGTAAGGGTAAGGAAGGCAAGCCTGGGGGTAAACCTAAGGTTGCTACCGTAGACCCGCAAACCGCGCCGGCTGGGACCGCGAATGACCAGGCAGAGGCTGCAGCTCCGAGCCAGGGGGATGGCAACGCAGCCATCAATGCAGAAATCTTGAGTGTGCTAAGGTCGATCAAGACCAAGGCCTTGCGGCTTAGCGCTGTGAGCAACCCAACGGGCTACGGCTTGTTGGATAGCGGGGCTTCCGCTTCTCTCCGCCAGGCATCGCCTCAGGAAATCCAGGAGTCCCGCCCGGTGAGCGTGTCTCTCGCGATCGGCGAGGCTCTGATGCATGTGAACTCCGCAGGGACTTTGTTGGTCAGGGAGTCAGTGCAGCCAATCTTGCCGATGCATGCGTTGCCGCTTTTGGGCTGTGAGATCAACTGGACTGACAGGGGCATTCACGTGCGGCATCCAGGTCTCGGGATTCTGCCGGTGAGACTCAAGGATGGCACTCCTGAGTTGCCAGAGTTTCTGGTGCTTCGCCTGATTGGCGAGTACGAGCGCTTCCTCTTGCGCCGTGAGACCTCAAGGGCCGTATCGCAACAGCTTTGGCAGCGATCAGTTGGCCAGGAGGAGGTTGGGCTTTCGTCCCTAAGGGAGTGGGTTGCAGCCCATGTGGCGGCAGATTCGTGCAGCGAAAGTGAGCTGCAGCTGATCGTTAAGACCCTCTTTCCTGGGCTCCCAGAAAGGTTAGCGTCTCAGGTTGCGGTGAGTCCCACCTTTGATCCCTCCTGCGTTCCTTTCAACCGCCGGACCAGGAGACAGCTGTTTGACCCTCAGGTCCCAACCTTGGTGCATCTGTTTGCTGGAAAGCAGCGGTGGCGACATTCTGTCGGCCAAGTGCTTGAGGTTGATATCTCCAGGGGATCGGACCTTCTTTCTGATGATGTGTTTGGCATGCTGCTGCGGGCAGCCACCCTGGGTGTCATCGATGGGGTCGTATGTGGCCCGCCAAGCAGGACCTTCAATCCTGAAGCCCTGGCGTCCTCCTCGAATGGCTTGAAGTTCCGAGGGGAAGAGGGGGATGATAGGTTTGGGTTTTCAGACCTCAGCCCGTCCGATCGTGCTTTGGTTGATCGGGACACCCTGTTGTTCCTCCGGTCTCTGCTGTTGACCTTTGTGGCCTCGTGTGCCAAAGAGAAGTTCTTCAACTGCTTGGAAATGCCTGAGACTTCCACTGCGTGGGAATGGCCCGAGTATGAGAATGTTTCTGTGTGTCTGGGGGGATGGACCGCCAGCTTCGACCAGGGCACTCTTGGCCATCCCTGCTCTAAGGCCACTGCCGTGTATACCAGCAGCTTTCAGCTGTATGAGTCTCTTCATGAGCTGAAGCTTCCTCCAGAGGTGATTGAAGCCCCGGCTTCTAACTTCTACGGCAAGGAGTGGGCTCCCGGGCTTGTTAGCCGGGTTCTGCGGGCCTGGGATGACTACTGCTGTGTCAGCTTTGAGCGCTTGCAGGCTCACACCCGTGAGCGGGAAGGACTCCTTCTCAACTTGTGCCAGGAAGCCACTGTGGCTAAGATGTCACCCGAGGTTTGGGAAAGGCACTGCCAAGCAGATCATTTGCCGTATCGCAATGATTGCCCAATTTGCATTCAAGGAGCTTCCCGCGATCGCTCCCACTTCACGAAGCATCCGCATCTGTTTGAGCTCTCCAGCGATGTTGCGGGTCCGTACCACAAGGGCCGTGACTTTGGAGGAGCATGCAGGTATTTTGTGATTTTCACAATAAGGGTGCCGGTCAAAAGTGATAAGAAGGAGTGGCGGGATAAGTCTTCTGAAATAGCTTTCCAAGAAAAGGTTGATGAGGCTAAGGCCCAGGATAAGGAGGATCCCCATGCAAGCTTGATCTACCAGCCGGTGCATGTTACCGGAGAGCCCTTAAAGGGGGATGCTGAGCAGCCTTCTCGGGTTAAGGTGTACACAAAGCTTGGGGATGACTTCCTTGAAGAGCCAAGCTCGGCCGTTGGGGTTTCTTCCACGCCGGGGGAGGATGACGACTCAGCTCTTCCTGTGAGCTTTGAGGTTAAATCTCCTCACAAGCCTCCGCCGCTTCAGCCTGAGGGCAGTGACTCTGATGATGGTCAAGAGTTTGTGACTTTGGTGTGGGCTGAGCCGCTGAAGACCTGCCAGTCCTTCAATGTGCAGCTTGCAATCATGCGTGCTGTTGCCCGCCTCCGAGCGTTTGGCATTCCGTGCTTTCGCTTCCATAGCGACAGGGCTCGGGAATACTTGAGTGATTCGCTTGAAAGGTTTCTAGCCGAGCAGGGCATTCACTCCACAAGGACAGCCCCTGAGGATCATCCCTCAAACGGCGCCGCTGAGGTCGCGATTCGAGAAGTCAAGCGAGCGGCTCGCAGAGCTCTTCTTTCGGCGAATCTGCCTTCGTGCCACTGGCCCACGGCAGTGAGACATGCCGGAGAAGTGATGTGGCGTAAGGGCCTTGTTCGTTTGGGTGGTGCGGCCAGGTCTTTGCTGGCTTACGGCACGCCTGTTGAGGCTCGCAAGCGCCTTCGCCACAGGGATGTTTGGATGTCCCGAACTCGGTCTGGAGTTCTGATTGGCCCGGCTCCGCAGACCTTGTCTTCGTACCTTGTGCTGTTTGAGGATGACACGGTGTGCATTACGTCGGCGGTGTATCCTGTTGATTACCGGCCGCGCCCTCCGTCTGAGCCTGCTGAGCCTCCTCTTAGGCCGAAGCCCTTGTCGGGTTCCAGCACAGGTGCGTTTTTGCCGACGCCCCACTACCGTCACGGCTCCAAGGGCCCTTCTGTTCGGGTCACGTTGCAAGGCCCTTCTCTTCCTGCTGCGGGGGGGATGAGTGCCATAGCAGATTTTTCGGATTTTTACGGTTCGGGCGAATTTTCCCGTCGGAGTTTTTCGGAGTCTGAGGATTCCTTGAAAGCTGGTTCGGATGGGCCGGTTGACTTCCTGTCAGATTCGGCTGACCAATCACAGATAACTGGGATGCCGGAAGTTCCCCAGCAGGAGTTCTCGACCTTGCAAGGTGTCTATGAAGATCCAGCTGCTTCTGATGAGGTTTTTTCTTCTGAGGATAGAAGGGAATCCGGAGAGGACTCATGTTCAGAGAGCCCGGGGGAGATTGCAGAAACCCGTGAAGCGGATGACGCTCCGGGAATGCCGCCTACCAATTTGGGCGAGGGTTCAAGAAGCCCGGGGGAGCCTTGTGGGCATCGGGTTCTAAGGTTTGTGGGGCCGAACCCACAGCATATGCCTGAGGCCAATCCAGCCCCTGGTGGCAGAAATGTGCAAGGTATCAACCGCCGCGTGCTTCAGGTCTTTCTTGCCTACATGTCTCCTGAGCAGTGGGCAGCGGTGTGTTATCTTGAAGAGGAGGAATTTGAACGTCAGATGTCGGACCTTACCCGCTTCTTGGATCCTGGTGATCCTGTTGATGGGGATACCGAAATCCCCTTCCTCCTTCTTCGGGGTACCTTGAGAAATCACCGCTGGGATCGCTATCCCACCATGGAATATCAAGATGCCGATGGCCGCCGGGCCCCTTTGTTTGAGGTTCTTCAGCACCATGATGATGATGGCTGGTATGCCGATGATAGCGCATTTGGGGATAGGCTAGTTGCCTTCACCATAAGGGACTTTCGGACCTCTGAGATTCGGGTTGTAGTCTTGCGACTCTTTGAACAGGAGCCACTCAGTCCCTTGGCTGTGCCTGGTCCCATTGACCCGCCTCATATTCGGGCACTCCGAGGGAAGGACGAGGCCTCCAGTTCCTCAGGGTCCTACAGCGCTTCATCTAGCCAAGGCTATCCGCCACCAATGCTTGCTGAGACCTCGAGTGCTGCCGACCGTCCCGGCCAAGGCTACTCGCCACCCATGCCCACCGAGGCTGCTGGAGCTCCAAACCCGTCTGGTTCGTTGTCTAGCTTTTCTTCGGGATCGCTAGACGTGTCAGCGACGGGCCCGGTGTCTTCTAGTTCTGGAACACCTCCACTGTGGATACTTACTCCACCCTGCAATCTAGCATCGCTGAATGGACCATTGATCCTCCCAGCAATCCTCTTTGCCACATGCTCCAGTCAGGTGCACCGCTGAGCCCTTACATCATTCAGATTGGGCTGCAGGGCTGTGTGGAAGTTCTTGAGAATGATGATGATCTTGAAAAAACGTTGCATTATGCAATTCGGGGTTTCCAGTCCGAGCAACGAGGAGGCCGTATGCTTCCCAATGCCCTTGAGCCTAAGGTTGGCTGGATTGTGGTTGGAGCTATGATAGCCCGTTGGTTAGAGGATAATCCTGAAAGTGCGAGTGGCTATGATGTCCCTGAAAGGGTTAAAGCCATCGCCTTAGGAACAGCCACTTCCACGGTGCCTGAAGCCCCCGCCCCGTCGATGTATGACTTTTGGTTGAAAAAACTTGATCATAATGATCGAGCGGATGTGAATGTTCCAACTCCGCGATGGAACAGGCGGTATGCAGTGCTGAGTGATCATGAAGCAGAACGACTCCAACGTGGTCGTCCAGTCGATGAACCAGCCAGTGGCTGGAATGAGCTCGATCTGCAAAACTTTGGCTGTTTGCTTCACACCATGCACAACCCCGAGCATGCCTTTATGATCGGACTGTTTGCCCTTCGGGGTCGAAATTGGACCATCATGCCTGAGGTGCGTATGATTTGGGATCACCGACATACCAATGCTCCCGTGCCCTATGTGTTTGGGTACCAGCCCGGTGGCTTGAATGATCAAAACACTGAGTACGAGCTTGACCTCCTTGGCGTCGTAGAAACCGAAAGGGTCGTCGACTTTGAAGGCGAACCCAATCGTCGCGCCTACCTTTACCGGGCCATCCGATATGGCCAACCTCCTCAGTGGTTTCTGATCGAAAGTAACATGATATGGCAAGATCGGTTCCGCTCTTCTGAAGAGACCGGTCGCAACCCAGTTCCCAATCCCCAAGGGCCTCCGCCCTTTGAGAACAGGAGAGATCGTTCTCCGCGTCGGGACCCTGATGCTGGGCCTGCCTTTCGTGTTGCTCGGCTCTTCTCTAGCTCTGGTGGTTCCCCGTCGGCGACAGAAGCGTTCTCTCCGTGTGAGACCTTCTGCAAGCAGGTGCTTCTTGAAGGAAACTCCGTTTCCACGGGTCAGCTTGCAAATGCTATCCGTTTGTACGTTCAAGATAAGAAAGCGATCAATCGGATCGTGAAGCGCCCTCTTGCCGGGAACCAGAAAGACGAAGCTTCAGGAGCAACGCTCCCTCCTTGGTTCTGGTCTTCCGGGGCTTGGGTTTTCAGTGCTAAGGTTGGAATCACCAATACGGTGCATGAGTGCCCGTGGCTCACGCGCCTTCTTGCTGTGAGCCTCTTCCACCGCACTGGGCATTGCTTTGCCTCCGTTGGCTTTGTCGTCAACATTGAGTCAGAGATCCATCGGGACTCTCACAATTCCCTTGAGTCAATGAATGTGGTTTGGAATGTCGGGCAAGGTTCAGGTTCTCTTGAGGTCCGGGGCCATGAGATGCCTCTTCCGCCAAATGCCTGGCTTAGTTTCCCCCCGCGTGATCTCCATAAGTCTGGAAGTTGGGAAGGAGATAAAATCCTGGTTTTGGGCTACACCCCTAGATCTCTTGAAAAGTTAACTTCTTCGGATCTTCTAAGCTTGAGATGGGTGAATATGCCAATCCAGGACCTTGAGCCTCTGTCGTCGTCTTCCGTCATCGGAGAACCCTCTCCTGGAGACGGTGTGTCGAAGTTGCTTCCAGATGAGTGTGACTCAGGTGAAGAGGAAGCAGACCTCCCGGCAGCGGAATCTTGGAGTCAGGTGACTCAGGGATATGAGCAAATGCACCAAGCAGTGACGCATTTCTTGAAGTCACTGCAACGATCTGTTGTGGGCGCTTCTTCCGAAGGCCCAGTTGACCCTATCACCTTGCAGGCGATGCGCGAAGCTTCCTCCCTTCGAAATGAGTTGGGCTGGCATCTAGAACTTGCGCGCCTGTATGGCTGCGATGAGCCTGTCAGTTCCTCCTCGTGGAGGGTGTGTGCCGCTGCCCCTGCAGCAGAACATCTTGAGTCTCAGCCCTTGCTGCATACCCGCATCGTCTCGAATGAGGAAGTCCGTGAGAAACTGCATGAATGGCGGGATGCCATGAAAGCAGAGTGCGATTCCTTGATTTCGAAGGGTGCTGTTGAGCTTGTGGCAGATAGTCAAGTTGAAAAATGGATTTTAGATGGTGAAGATGTAGAGATCCTCCCCGGCCGGGGTGTTGCCACTGAAAAGCCCCCTGTAGCTCCCGGATCCACTAAGAGAAATAAGTATAGAGCTGTAATTTGCGGCAATTTTCAAAAGTGGTCCGAGGAAAGGGCGGCAGAGTCCTTCTATGCCGGAGGAGCGGATTCTCTTTCGATCCGCACGGCCTTGAGATGGGCGGGCATGAGGAAGCACGGTGGTTCAGGAACTGATGTCAAGACTGCCTTCCTCAACGCTCCTCTTGATGAGCAGGAGGCAGAGTATCTGATCTGCAATCCACCTAAGGTGCTGTATGCCGCGGGAGTTATCCCGAGGGGCTATAAGTGGAGAGTCCACGGTGCTCTCTACGGACTCCAGACCTCACCTCGTGCTTGGTCCCGCCTCCGGGACAAAACCTGCAGAGTCCTGACCTGGACCGTTGATGGCGAGAACCGCCACTTGCAACAGTGTGTTGCTGACCCCAACATTTGGCTCGTCAAGTCCCCTTGCGGTGAGACTGTTGCCTTGATGTGTTGGTATGTCGATGACCTCCTAGTGTTGGGACCTTGGTCGGAGCGATCTGCTCTTCTTGAGAAAATCAAGGCCACATGGGAGTGCAGCGCATTCACGCATACTGAAAATGGCCCAGTTGAATATTGCGGTCTTGAGATTTCGGAGTCTGCTGATGGTCTTTTGATTGGGCAGACTAAGTACATCAAGGAACTCTTGAAGAGGCACAATGTGCAGGGGAGTGCCAGGTCTCCGTGTGCTGCGTGGTCAGCCAACTTCGATGATGGCGAAAGCCGTGATGACCCGGTTGATCCGGAAGCCGCTAAGGCCGCTCAAAGCATAACTGGTGAGCTACTGTGGCTCTCAGTTCGAGCGCGCCCAGAACTGTCTTTTCCAGTCAGCCGCATGGCACAGTTGACCACCAAGAGGCCAAAGGATGCGCTAAGCATTGGGCAGGGAGTGTTGCGTTTCTTGAATTCCTCACCCTCCCAGTGCATTGTGTATGGCCCTCCTCCTGGTGATTGCGGGGCCTCTCAACAGTATCCGAGGCCGGTCGTTGAAACGACGTTGCATGCTTTTGCAGACGCCTCTTTTGGGCCAAGTTCAGGCAGATCCCACCAGGGTCTGCTAGTGTGCTGGGCTGGAGCTCCGCTCCACTGGGAATCTGGCCGCCAGACGCTGACTGCTCTGTCAACCGCTGAGAGCGAGTTGATCAGCTACGTCTGTGTTGTGCAAGCGGCTGAAGCTGTTGAGGCCTTGATTGGGGAGATCTTTCCAGAGCCCCTTACTCGATCCCTCTTCGGAGATAATTCTTCAGCAATAAGCATTGTAAGCGGCCCCCCCACTTCCTGGAGATCCCGCCACTTAAGACTTAGGTCACATGCCCTACGTGAAAGGATCGAAAATGGTGTTTGGACGGTTTATCACTTAAGCGGCTTGCTGATGCCCGCCGACATCCTTACAAAGGCGATGACAGCCTCAAAGTTCGGCGACATGTTGCCGTTTTTAGGGGTTAAGAATCCGTCTGAGGATTGTAGGTTGCGGCTAGCTGCAGTGCTGGCATGCTGTGCCCTGCTTCTGAAAGGGCAAGGCTCTCCTGAGCCTGAGGGTTGGGGTTGGGTTATAGCGTACCTTACGGTTGTGATCTTAGCCTACGAGGGTTTTAGGTCCTTCCTTAGGAGGTTCTTAGGCTTAGTTGCGTATGTGTTCCCAGGCCTCGGTGCTCGATTTCCCGGGGTTCTGGATGTGCATTCCTCGCCCGATTCTGGGACCACGCAGCAGCCTGCCGCAAGCACCCCGCCTTCCTCCTTCACTCAGTTGCCAGCTCCTGGTGCTCGACTTCCCAGGGGTTCGTCCTCCTCCATCGGTGCTCGACTTCCCGGTGGAGCCCCTTCATCCTCTAGATCTCCTTCGAATCTCCGATCTATCGGAGTGAATACCAATCCTGAGGACTACGCTCCTCTTCCTCCTGTTCTTCCCGCTGCCCCTGCAGCTGCCTACCGTCACCCAATCGACCTGGTGAGCCATTCTACCTCCAGCGGCTCCCACTGGCATCAAAATCCCGAGTGCTACCATCTCCGAAACCGGGATCATTCATCACTGCTTCCGTGCAGTGACTGCGTGGTTGGCCGCACGGTCTTCCATACCAATCTCCCTACTGGACTTCGACGCCGCAGGGGAGGGTGAGTGATGGACTTCAAGGCAACCAGTGATTTGCAGGCTACCATAGCCTCCGAGCACCAACTCGTTAAACTGATCCGCTGCCTGCCGGGCTGGACTTTTGCAGCGGCCTGTAAGTGTCGCTTTCTTCCTCATGGCTGGACTTAGCCTTCCTTCGGGGCTAGTCAGGCCCTCGACTTCTTTCTTCCCTCCTCGCCGTGCCACCATCCGTCCTTTCCCTTGTGGATTTTTGAGGCGGTACCGCGGGGTTAAAGGGGCTTTTAAACTACTAGTCTTCAGACTTTATCCATGTTTGAATCTTTCGAAAGGCCTTGAGCTCTAAGACAATGGCTCCATGACTCCTGAATGGATGGATCCCTCGAATGAGGTAGAAGTCCACAGGGTCTAAACAGACCATTAGGCTTTGCGAAGCGCAAAGGGGGGAGTGTTGGAGTGATTTCAGTATGAGCCCCTGCGCAGAATGACACACATGCAGGCCTTTTTGCTCAGCGTATATAAAGTTGTTGCGTGCCTTTCGGGGTGTAATTTCAGGGTTGAGCCTAGAGTCCAAAGCTTAGGTAGCCAGGTTCCTCTAAAGGCCCTTCCTCGGTAGCACCTCGAAAAGAATAATCATTCAGGCCCTTGTAGTATCCTACCCCAAACTCTAACCCCCGACGCCCTAAAATGGGTGTGTCTGGATCATGGAGAAGAAGGCAACCCACATAAACAACAAGAAATCCTAAAGCCGAACCCTAAGCTGCTCAACACTAAGCCCCCTGAGGAGGGTTGCCGCGAGTTCGACCCTGTGATGCCGACCCGCTTTGGAATGCGCTTTGAGGAGTTCTGGATACAACTTTGGATCTTCACAGTCGTGAACAGCATCCTTGCAATGATTGCGATTTGGATGTGTGTAGCTGAGCCTGGGTGGATGCTTTGTACTTATTGTGGTTTAAGGTTCCGAATGTTTTGATAAGGGAGCACCTAGACCCTAAACTCTAAATCCTACAAGGTTTAGGGTTTAGGGTAAACCCTAAACCAAGCGCATAAAACAGACTCTCTTTCCATCCTCGTGCGGCCCAGGAGCATCCGCCTTCTTCCTATGTTCGCGAGTCTATAAGATGCATGATCAGCATCTTCCTAGCCATCCTTCTGAAAACCGCCGGTGTTGCGTTCCCGGGCTCGGGGAATTGTAGACTTTTTTGTTTTCTTTGAGGATTTGGTGACATGAATCGAAGCTGCTTGCTGTAGGACAAATCGTTCAGACGTGTGTCCATCTGAAACGCCGTAGACCCCGAGCCTCTATAAGAGTGTCTTGAATAGAGCTTCAGCCCTCTTCAGCGACACTCTTGTCGTATATTTCTTCTATAAAGCACTGTAGATTCTATGCTCATTATACATTGTATACCTTACATGGTACATGGGAGTTTCCGACAAATTGGGGGTATCTCATAATAAGGATCCTACTATTTAGGGTTCTATTAGGGTCCCTTACAAGATTTCGGAAACTCACATATTCCACATTTTGGAGAGTGTAGACTCGAATCCCTAGGTTCGATGCCTGTGAGGGGAGCGATCTGGACAACGATGGTCTCCGAGACTACGCATACAACAACTTCCAGGCATGCTCAAAGGAACCCTTCAGGCTACCCTTTCAGGGATCCTTAGGGGTACTATACTAAGGGCTCTTTTAAGGGTATATGGGTACTGTAAGAGGGTTCCATTTGGGGTTCCCTTTAGAGGAACCGCTTTTGGTACTGTTTTCAGCGGAACCCTTTATCTTGTAGTATCCGTTAAGGTGCCCATGCTCGTTTCTTCGTATGGGACTTCCGCTGGCTTTCTAAGCGCCGTGTGGTGCATGCAGTCTGTGGTGGATCGCCTGCTTGCGCTGGAGAAGTCCTTTGGGGAATCCTTGCCGGGCTCCCTGGGCATCCTCTGGTTGTCGCGGCTCATGATGATCATGCTCTCGATCCTTGCGATTACATACTATTACCCGCTACCCACGCTAATTTTCTCGGCCATCTGGGCTCTGGGGGTCATCGCGTTCACGGCGCCTTAGAAGTATGCAGTTTTTGTCTCGTGACTACGATGGACCCCTGTACTCCCGGAGGTTTGACTTCATTTTTCGTAGACTGGACAAGAAAGGTGTTGATTTGGAGAGCATATTCCCCTCCGGTTCGGGCGCTGCGGACAGCAGGCCTGGATGCCAGCGATGGAGTCAATGCCCAGCTGAATAGAGAAGTTGCCTTTGCACTGAGAGTCATTGGCCGTGCTCGCGCAGGCAGAGGGTCCTAAACCCAAAACCCTACTAAACCTTAAGCCCCGCAACCCTAAACCCTACTAAACCCTAAGCCCCTAAAACCCCAACACCCCTTAAACCCAAAAACCCTAAACCCTACTAAACCCTAGGCCCTTAAAACCCCAACACCCCTTAAACCCCAAACCCTAAACCCTACTAAACCCAAAGCTCCTTAAAACCCCAACACCCCTTAAACCCCAAACCTCTACTTAGAGGATCATGGGACTTAGTAAGTAGGTTATACTTGGGGTTATAAGTCCCCTAAGTGGTGTTATCCTAATTATACTCTACTTATAACTTTACTTACGAAGTCCCATGATCCTCTAAGTAGGAGGGAGCTCCCGGGTCTGATAAAGACAGGGGTCCTGGGGCCTTTCAGAGGTTCGAGGGACCCGACACCCAAGGCCCTGAACCCAAAGCCTGGACACCCAGGCTTAGGACTGTAGGGTCTCGGGGCTTAGGGTCTTAGGGTTTAGGGTTTAGGGTTAAGGATTTAGGGTTTGGGGTTTAGGGTTTAGGGTTGAGGATTCAGGGTTTGGGGTTAAGGGTTTAGGGTTTAGGGTTTAGGGTATAGGGTTTAGGGTTTAGGGGTTTAGGGTTTAGGGTTGAGGATTTAGGGTTTAGGGTTTAGGGTTGAGGATTTAGGGTTTGGGGTTAAGGGTTTGGGGTTCCCAAAGCCAAAGCCATAAAAGAAGGAATTTTGGTGGCTGGCGTTTCGATGTCATGGCACCTTGCCACTTGGGGTACCATGTGGGTTTGGGCTTTAGGGCTCTTTAGGGCTTAAGGGTACCTGAACCGTAAACCCGAAACCCTTAAATCCTTAACCCTAAAGCCTTAAATCCTAAACCCAAACCCTAAACCCTTAAATCCTAAACCCTTAAATCCTAAACCCTAAACCCTTAAATCCTAAACCCTAAACCTTAAGCCCTAAATTCTCAACCCTAGACCCTAAACCTTAAACTACCCCAAAACCGATGCTTCGGTTCGGGATGCATCATCCCTTCCCCTCGCCCAGACCGCCCTTACTGCCCACGAAGTAGAACCCAGAGAGCCCAATACCCCTTAATTTAAGGGAAGAGGGCTTAAAGCATAAACGGAAGCCCCTTATAGTTTAAGGAAGTATTGCTTAAGGCCTGAAGCTTCTTAACCGCCAGACCCCGATCCCTTGGTGTAGGGTTTAGGATTTAGGGTTTAGGGTTTAGAGCTTTAGCGGTTTAGGGCAGTTTAGGGCAGCTTACGGTTTAGGGAAGTTTAGGGTTTACCGGAAAATCCCGGAGCCCTAAACCCTAAGCCCGAACATCCCTAAACCCTGAAGCACTCCCCACACCGCCCTCAGCAACAGCCAACCGTGCGTGTGTGCGAGGTTGTTCTAAAAAGCTTCGCTACTTCAAGTTTCGAGAAGAACACATTCAGGAGGACTCCGAATTAGAGCAGCCCCAAACGGCCAGGAGTTTTACGACGCGTACATGTACTCAGCCGTTGCCGACACCTTGGGCAACGCTTTTTGTGTCTAGTTCCTGAGTACTACCCTTTTGCCCTTTTTAGTTTAGGGTCCCTTTATTAAAAACAAAGAGTAGGAAAAAGGGTACCCTTATTATAAAGGGGCTACTCAGGGACCTAGGTGTCGTGATTCTCTCTGCCGCCTCACTGAGTCTACCTTCTTGTCACTCGGACGCCCTGAGTTGTCGGGTTCTACAGGGCCTACGAAAGTGTTCAAAGAGTCTTATAGTTTTATCTTGGGGTATCATAGACTCTTCTCTTTTGGTTGCTCGTAAGATGTGTTAATGCTATTATATTTGTGTTTGCTTAGCGGGGCTGCATGGAGTTGTGTGGTTATTGCAGTCAGTGTCTTGCTTATCAGTAAGAGCTAGTGGCGAGCTTCCATGGTCCCACTCAGGCCTAGGTCTCTTTGGAAGTTGAGCATCACGCAGATCATGTAGTATAATGTTTTCTACTGTAATGCAATAGTATGTGTGTATGTATATGTATATAGTATGGTGCAATGTTGCTCCATTGTGAGCCTGCGACTAGGAATGTTGACGATGCTAACCTGGCACCTAAACGAAGGTCAGCTTCGCACATCGTCCACGGCTTCATTGGAAGAGTCAAAGCACCGCCACAAAGAGCCTGTGACGGCAGGTCCGCCAGAAGTTGACAACCCAAGGCGTGCCAAACCCTAAACCTTAAGCCCCCGAGCAGGCGCTTGGGAGGAGAAGGTGGCGGAGCTGGCCGGTCGACGAATCACGCTTGGCCTCCAGCCTGAGACAGACACACAACATAAACCTCAAATCCAATGCCCGAAGCCCTAAAACCTAAAACATATCGGTTAGAAAAGGTTTCCCGCGTCAGAGTTCTGGATTTTACTGGGTGACGGTGTGATGCTTTTTGTTTATCATGCTTCATCGGTTTGTGTACCCGCAGATCAAGACTCCAAGCAATGACAACTACTGGAATTTCCCTGCTTCTTGCAGTAGAGAACTGTCTGTTGACCTCATACCTAGCCCCAAACTCTATCCCCCAATTCAGATTCGATCTTCGATCTTGAAACACAACTCCGTAATCCTGAAGCCCAAATATGGAAGCCTGGGTGTTTGTTAATACTACTAGGGAGGCTGCCCTAGTGTAATTCTAAAGACCTTCTTCCACTTATCCAGGACTCCGTATGGGAGTTTCCGAAAATAGGGGATCCCAATATAGTACTCTAAATAGTAGGATCCTTATTATAAGGACCCCCAAATCAGGTACCCCTAAATTTCGGAAACTCCCATATTAGTTTGAAAGTAGAGGCCTTAATGATTAGAACAGCGTTTCGGGGTTCCTCAAAACAGTTCCAGGAATACATACCCTCAAACTGGCTCAAACCCCGTTACACTTACACAGGCCCCTACGATATAGAACCCTTAGTAGGAAGCCCTTATAGTAACCCCTTATAGACCCCTTTAGAGGAACCCCTTTGAAAGGCACCCTATTCTAATTATGAAGGCCCCTACATTAAGTCCGGAAGCCCTCTACCGAAATCTCGAAGCGCCTCAGGTCAGCTTCTTGACTTCCACGCTCGCCTGGGCTCCGATGCTTTGATGCCGCATTTCGATCACAAGAGGTACCGGCCCTGGGATTTGAAGTTTCTTCCTGCCTTTTTGGGTTTAGGGTTTAGGATTTTGGGTTTGGGATTTAGGTGCTTGGATTTTTTTTCATAGGGGGTGTTCTCGCGGTTCTTGAGTTGTCAGAAATTTGGGACACCGGTTCGCAGAATTCCTACTGTATGGAACAGACCTCCCAGAACGGACTCGTAGATTAAGCATCACCATCACAGAGCATGATCGGCAGAGGGCTTGGGGTTTTGGGATTGTCCTGCCTTGTGAGTTGAAGTTAGGCTGCAGAGCAGGTTTCCTTCCAGGCAGTATGCTTATTATGAGAAGGATCCAGAAGCCACCGTTGCTTAGAATCCCTCATCCCGAACCTTTCAAGATGCTACTTAGATCCCTGAACTCTAAACTCTAAACCCACTACCAATGTCAGGGACCGTAAGGGGCTTTAGGGGCCAGGCTCTGATTTGCGGCTGTCCATGGTTTAAGATAGGGGTCGGAACTATTTACCAATGTTGTTACGCAGGGTTCCTTGCCTACTCTTAGTATGGTATAATATTCACCGAAACCCTAAAGCCATACCCACTATCGGCAGATACCCGCGATACACGCCGCGACACATGCACGCGATTCATGCCCCGGCAGGAACATCCGCCTTCCAGAGACTCCGGACGAACAGGGGCAATAGCTATTCGTACGGCAGAACCGTAACACACTGCATGCATATGCCTGCATACACACAAGATCGCACAGCTATACATGTATGCATCTGCGTGTATGTACGTTACTCCATAGAGTAAAGCTCGCAGAATAAACACAGCGTGTACACATATCCACCGAAACCGTACATGTCATATGAGTCACATGCAGTTGTATATTCGCGCATACACATGGAGAGAATGACCCCATACTGTATCATCTCAACAGGCTCTCGAGCGTGTATACTGGCTGCTGCATATGCCAGCGTATGATGACATACAGAAGTAAAGCTGAGGAACAGGTGAACGTACAGAAGCATCTGGCTTGACAGTAGCCATATCCCTCTCCAGTCCCTGTATGACTATACTACATCAGCGCTCCCCTTGAGAGGTCCACCACGAACGACGTCGTGCGGCATGCGGTGATTCCAGAGTCACGCGTCGGGGAGTTGGGCAAATCCCTGGCGGAAGTGCTGCCGCCCGGTACCTCTTGTGAAGCGCGTCTTCAACTAAGCATCACAGATGGGGGTTTCGGAAATTTTGTGTAATTGCCTTCTTTCGGGACCCGAACGCACAGGATCAGGGCATATGGCTTCTCTCTCATGGTTTGGGGTTTAGGGTTTGGTATTTAGAGTTTGGGTCTTACTGGTTTAGGGGTCGTGTACCTTGCAGGATCATCATGGTCGCTGCCACTCACACTACTGTGGATGGCAACGTTAAGCCAAGCCATCAGACAGTAATCCTCGGGGGCTTCAAAAGGCAGGATGAAGGTAGGTGGGATATTCACAAATAAGAGTCCTTATACAAGGGATCCTTAATCCCACCTGCCTTCCTCCCACCCTCTGAGGCCTCGGAAATCCACACCCCTTAACTCGGAGACCGAGCGAAGCCCAACCCTTAGACCGAAGTCCCTCCCTCGAGCATCGACCCAAGAATAGAGCTCGAAATAAGAACAGTAGCAATATATACTATAGGGGCCTTAATATATTGCCAATACCATTGTGGGGGTTCCATACTATAATTACAGCTTAATAGGCGCGCTGCCCTGGCAAGATAGTTCCGCCTTCCCTAAACATTAAACCCAAAGCCCTAAACCCTAAACCCTCGCGACTCTAAACCCTAAACCCGAGACCCCAAACCGGCCCGAACCTTGCACCAAGGCCGAAGCAGTCCCACAAGCATCCCAAGCCACCGCGGATGGTGACACACCATTGGGCCAACCGTTTCAGGACACGGTTCTTCAGTGTTCAAGTTCTCGGTGTCGGGGTTTAGGGTTCAGGGCTTAGGGGTAGAGGCTGCGGGCTCGAGGTTGCAGGCCTCAACTGTCGCGGTTAATTGACTGAGGTGTCAGCCCTCTTCCTTTTTCGGTGTTTGAAATTCCCAGCTATCGCAATGCTTCTTCGCCTCCTCAGCCCTGAGCCCTCAACCCCAAAAGCCCAAAGAGTCGGAGGCAAAGCCAATCCTGAACGAAGCCCAAACCCAAGCACCCTACAGCTCAAATCCCAAAGCCCCAAATCCGAGGCTTTACGATGCGAGGTCTTGGTCTTGGGTTCATGGTCAGTTCTTGGGGCACGGGATTCAGGGATTGGGGATTTACACTTCTCAGCCCGGAGCCTTTCCTCCTAAATCTTATCTATCAGTTTTCTGCTTTAGAGAGCGCTTACAAGACCCTGCGCAACCTTACATCGCAACATGCTGCGAACTCATAGAAGCTACAGACCCCCGAGAGTTAGCCCAAAGTAGCAGTGAACCGAACACACCATGGTTATCTCTAAACCCTCAGCCCTTGGAGCCGTGTAAAAACTTGTATATCGCTCCTCAATTTTGTACCAGGTTCCGATTTGGGATGTCTTTTAATTTCCATAATGTGATTTTTTATGTAGACAAACTGGGGGACTGTTGACATGGGCACCTAGTAAATCTGTCTGAACCAGGCAGTATTCTTAGACCGACAGCCAAACCTGTTCCTTCTCAGTGACCTGGTGGCCGTGGTTGTCGCCGACGGACTGGGCGTAAAACGATGGGACTCGGTTGTGGAGCCCCGGCTGCAGATGCGTCAGGCGTGTAGGAGGGCTTCTTAAGCTTTTTCATACAGACACCGTATAGTTTTCCCAAAGTAGCGGTGCAATATAGGGGGCCTTAAAGATTGAAACAGGTTATTCGGGCATGTAATGGTATAGTTACAACCCTCCAGACAAAGTCAGTGCACGGGTATCCCCTAAGACCCCAAACCCAGTTTTCAATCCAGAACCCCAAGTCTTCAACAAGCAACTCCAAACCCTGTCCTTAAACTCATGCATCCAAAATAATGGACCCGGACCGGTCATTCGGTATCCAGGAGCTTAGTGCGTCTTAGTTTCGTTGTAAAGATCCCAGAAGGGGAACGCAAGGCCAACCATGAGACATTAATGTAGAAGATAAAGGTATTTTCAAGAAAGCTCAGCGCCAAGCCATAAAATCCCAAACCCTATCCCTGAAAAGACTCGTAGTCCAGGAATTGCTCCGGAGCCATGGCGAGACATCCCTCAAGGAGCAGTTGGAACAGAAAGTGGATGCCCAGATTTCATGAGTCTAGGGGATCTATGGTTTAGGTAGCTTGAGACCAAGATAAAGCCCTATGTGGTTATTCACGGAGTCTCTGTCGGATCTGCCCCCTGAAGCATTCAGGGCACAGGGTTGAGTGTTTCGTTTGGGGCTTGGTGGGTTTAGGGAAGTTTGCGTTTAAGGGTTCTTGATTCAGCTGCGATCTCAACCAGAACATGCCCCAGACATGGAGTTGACAAGAGCTTCTCATGGTTTCGTCTTGTCCATATCTGAGATACCACCTTCAGTATCTTGGCCGGCTTAGGATGTGTCTTCTCACATGCGAATCTCCTGGATCGAAGGCGGCACTTACCCTAAACTCTAAACCCTAAACCCTAAACCCTGAACCCTAAACTCTAACCTCTAATCCCTAAACCCTCAACTCTAAACCCTAAACCCTACTATAGTTTTTAGCAGCTCTGCATTCTGAAAGTAGAGCCGAGGCTGCGCGGCGCGGGTACCGCATGCAGGCATATTCTTCCATGCGTTGCATATGGGTGGTTGGCAAAATTATGGTCCTTTTTTGAGTCCTTAATATAGTACGGCACCTAATATTCAAGGTACAGTACCCAAAAAGGGACAATAATTTTGACACATCGCCATATACATTTCTTGTGTCTTTACATGTAAATATGCGTGTATGTGTGTATGCCTGTCTGCCGGCAAGCAAGCAAGCATGCATGCATGCATGCAGCAACGCATGTACGTACGCACATGCATATGTATGTATGTATGTATGTATGTATGTATGTACGTACGTATGCATGTGTGCATGTCTGCATGTTTGCATGTTTGCATGTGCGCGTGTTTGCATGTTTACAGGTATGCATGTTTGCATGTACGCATGTTTGCATGTTTGCGTGTATGCATGTTTGCGTGTTTGCATGTTTGCATGTAGTATGCAGGTTTGGAGGTATTCATGGCTTTATGTCTTCATGTGTTCATGCCTTCATGTCTTCATGTATTCATGTATCCATGTATTCATGCATTCATACATATACACAGGTCGCGTACATGTGCGTTGACGAAATGATCATTTGACGACATTGGCACTAATGTGTCTAAACTGTAGCTGCATATCATGTTTACAAATCAGACGTACGATCATCGAGTGAGTGTATAAGCATATGTGTCTGCCAGGATTTCTGTCCATATGCAGGCCTTCACGCACATGCACGTGTGCACATAAATATTTACATGGCCAGACCGACTGAAAAAACACGCACACACACAGACAAACACTAACATATCTGTATGCATTACTGGTTCATATCTCTTCACCTGTTTTGTATGGAAGCAAGGGTTCTGGAAGTTCTGAAGTTTGAGTTTGTAGCCTTTGGATGCCCTTTGATGGGAAAAGGTTGAGAGCCACACATAAAGCCAAGGGCGCGGAGTACTGGATTTGCGCCATCTGCATCAACCAGCACGCCAGCGTCTCGACATGCAGTTGGTTTAGGCATTCGTGTTTTGGTTTCGTGTTCGGTGTATATGATCGAAGAGTTGATGTCGTTGTGGGATCAGGCGCGCGCTAAAGGGGTCCTGCACTTAGGAAGAGTCTCCCGCGACTAAAATCCTCTCCTCCGAGGGCTCTCGGAGACTCCTGAGGGTTCTCGGAGGCTCTTGGAGGGCACTCGGAGGCTCTTGGAGGGCTCTTGTGGGATCAGGCGCGCGCTAAAGGGGTCCTGCACTTAGGAAGAGTCTCCCGCGACTAAAATCCTCTCCTCCGAGGGCTCTCAGAGGCTCTTGGAGGGCTCTTGTGGGATCAGGCGCGGGCTAAAGGGGTCCTGCTCTCGGGAGGGTACAATTACAACTACTATTTCTACCATTCTTCCATTCCCGACTAACCAAAGGTAAGTGATTTGTGCTGGCTTTCTTGTCATGAGGGGCATGCTCAACCATGGATTGACTGGGTTGAGGGTGCTGAGGGTGCGAGTAATATACTGGTAGGGGCTTAAACGATTATCAGTACTTCTTTGGGGTTCTCTTTTTCTAGTTGTAGTACAATGGGCCCCAAAACCCTATTCCTTTTATTGAGCCCCATATGTTGGTGTTTAGGGTTTAGGGTTGAGACTTCGATCGCTGCATCTTCTTGAAGCTGGCAGATTCTGTTGAACGAGCCATCCCTCCTGCAAGAGATCTCTGAAGCATTGCTGAACCCGAAGCCCACGAAAGCTCCACCCCCAAATACTCATTGAAACCTGCAGCTGAACAACCACCGGAAGCCCCTCACCCCAACAAACCTCCATGGGAAGAACACCTTAAGCCTAAACCGGCCTTACAAGGTATTTGTGGCAACTCCATGGGCGCCAGAGACACAGTCACTGGCGAAGTATTGCCTTCCTGCAGCTGCAAAACCCCCAAGTTCTTCAACGACCATCCTGATGAGTGCGAGCTCAACAAGTTCGACGACATGATGGAATCTTGGACGTTTCAGAGTTCGGTCCTCCAACAACAGCTGCGACCTTTCGGGCAAGGTTATGCATGTTCTTATCCAGCCCAACACCCCTTCGCCCTTGCACTCTGGACCGTGGAACCCACATGCAAACATGGTTGTCCCAGAGCCACGAGAGCAGTTGAGGCATGTCTTCGTCGGCAATATGCAGGCTTTCTTCAAGTCGTAGCCGTGGACACGGACTTCAGCTTGTTCACACGTGCCCGGGGTCTGATTAAGGAGGCTGCAGCCCACTCAATCAAAGTAGATCCTTTCGACGTGCCGCTATCTTCTTGTCATGACTCAACCAGCATGGACCCGGTGACAGAGTTCGACTTTTCGTTAGTGTCGTCGCTATCATCGTCGTCAGTGCCCATGCCGTCATCATCATCAACTTTATCATCGCCATCTCGACTTTTGCCGCCCCTTGCTCCTCCTTTTCGCTCCTCCTCCTCCTCCTCCTCCTCCTCCTCCTCCTCCCCTTCCTGCACCTTCTCCTGACCCTCCTCCACTCCAACACCACACCATCGCAGTCCATCATCCATCACTCTTCTTCATTATCATTGTCATCAGGATCCCCCTCTTCTTCCTCCGTCCCCATCATCACCCATCATCGATCAACCATCATCCACTATTCGTCATAGGAGTCAGCATCATCATCGTCACCTTCTTCTTCATCCTCGTCGTCATCATGATCTTACCCTCATATCAATCTTATCCTTGTACTCATCAGCACCACCTTGAAGATCATCATAATCGTCATCAGGACTCCAAACCCTCAAAACTCAACCCCCATCCCTTCAAGGTTTAGGCTTTAGGGTTTATGGTTGAGGGTTGTGCGCTGACAACCCAAGCTCAAGGTGCCTGGTGCGTTGCGGAGCTCGCAGAGGCCCACGGTTCGCGCTTGGAGCAGCACATCGTCCTTCACTCGCCGCAAGTACTCGAAGAACACTCCGGGCATCTCAATAGTTTGCAGGTGCTTGGCTATGTGGCATCGTGTCTAGCGGTGCGGGCTTGTGTTTCGGGGTTCACGACTGGGACATCAATTCCAGCAGAAACTTAACGAGGGCAGCGGACTCGGTCATTGTAGACCCCTTTGCATGCCCGCGCGCGGGTGGGGGTGTGTGTGTGTGTGTGTGTGTGTGTGTGTGTGTGTGTGCGAGTGTCTGGGTGTGGGTGTGTGGGTGCACCAATGTGCCTGTGCTAGCGACCGGATGTGCTTGTGTGCGGGATAACGTCATCAAATGCCATCGATGTACCGTAATATGAGGTCAGTGTGATAGAATGTAGCATAATGCAGTATAGTGTGGCACAATGTAGTATTATCTAACGGAGTATAGTATAAGTATAAGATGATATAACACAAAATACGATGTAATGTGATACGACAAAATATTGTTCATGTTAAATATGCTCGAAAATAACATGGGAGAGTACAATTCGCTATGAGATGACCTGGGAACACTGAAACCAAGCATACGGTAGTATGATCTGGTATAGTACAGCGCAGTACAAGACAGTATTGGATCGTATAACATAGCAGAATACAGTATATTATGTTCTGGTATCATGTAGTATATTTAGTACAGGGCAACATAATGCGAGCAATATCGTTGTAGCATTCTGAAATATGATTTAGAAGAGCGTAATGCAATGTGCCGCAGTACGACATAATACAGTATATGACAGTAAAGACATAATGCCGTAATTATGAAGCGAATATGGCATAAAAATAATATACATAAATACAGCTTTCTTTGACATAGCATGATACGATGCGAAATAGTTTAGTACAGTACAACAGTGTGAGACAGCATAACAAAGTGTACCCGAACATGTCTTATGTTACAGGCTGATTCAGAAAACATACTGTCGCATTAGTCGAGATCATCGTTGTAGACGCTTCTCCTTGCGAATTGTTTTTACTTCTCCGGCGCATGTTGGATGTTGGTCATGCCAACTCCCATAGATTTAACACAATACGACAAAATATGTAGCACCATCAAAGCACCGTCTATTGTGATGTACTCTAACATGATAGATGCAACATAGCGTCCTATGGCATGATATAGTGTGATGCGACATAGGTTGTGTCAGCATAGAATATTTACAGCGTAACATGATACAGTGTATTCGAACTTTGGAATACACTATACTACAACCTACTACTCTAGAAGTTAGTATAAGGTTGTAACACGCGGTTTACTGCGACGTAATATGATATGACATAGTATAAGGGGATGCAGTACAACATAGCAGGATACAGTATCTAGTGTTGTGGTGCAGTGTGCGGCTTAACACAGTATCACATTCTACAATTATGCAGCAGTGAACTACGCTAGTATGCAATAAGTGCTGTGGTTCAGTTGCTGTCCTGCAATATGGCATGATACGCTTTGGTATGATATGGCATGATCTACTGTAATGTGCTATCACATAGAATCACGAACAGTAGAATGCGATAAAAGTTTCGAACGAAACGGAGTAGAGCAGAGCAGAGTGGAGTATGACAGAACGGAGTAGAACGAACCAGAATGAGCATATACATATCTATATATATATATATATACATACTACATACATGTGTATATACACATTTCCATTTGCAGATACGTGCAGTGTGCCAATTCCCTCCAACGGTTACCTGAGCTCCCGAAGTTCCCTTCCGACCTGTCCTGAATTCCCAATCCCGAATCAAAACTCACGGTGCTTTCAGAAAGAGAGCTCCACCTTGAACTGAGGTGCAAGAGTGCAATGCATCTCGGGCTGAAGACAAGCAGGCCATCCTTGACAAGACTCTCGTGTGCCATTGAGAAAGCTGTCGATGTCCAGAGCAGTCTACTTCGATTGCGGATGCCCTAAACCCTAAACCGGATGCCCTAAACCCAAAACCGGATGCCCTATTAGCATACTAGGAAATGCCGACATTGAAGGCTTCAGGTTGCGTTCGAGAACGTATCCTCATCCTGCTAATCAGGAGCCCTAACCCTCCAGAAAATGCGAACCCGGAGTAATATAGGGGCCCTAATAATTTTAATTCGGTTTTGGTGCCCATGATACTATAAGTATAATTTATAGTAAGGAACCACTAGAATAGTATGCGTAATTATTTCTGCCCTGATATTGTACCCTGAAGCACGGAAGGATCGGCACGCAAGACGATATCGATGAGTTCAACAGGGACCTGCGGCAGCTCCTCGTGGGGAGTGACGGGCTTCTGGCCGGATGGCTCGATGGCCAGGCGAGGCCGTCTGGGTTTAGGGTTTAGGGTTTAGGCGTTTGGGGGTTTAGGGTTTAGGGGTTAGGGGTTTAGGGGTTTAGGGGTTTAGGGTAGGGGAAGACGGCCAAGAAGACGAAGAACATCCTGGATAAGCTTGACCACTTTTTGATGGTGATGGGGGTACATAGCGGTATTTGCAGAACATGCCTGCTAAATCCTGGTAATGATGCCACAAATGCAGTAATACCTTTTAGGGGTATACACAAACGCTCAAACAATAGTCACAGCAATCGCATTAATGGGAATAATAGATGTGATTAGAGTCGCACTTGTAAGCGCTTTAACCATGAAAGGGTCATTGTCTGTTTTGTCAGGAGGGCAAACCTGAGTAGTTTTTCTTGCTGGGCCGGGCGGCTACAGAGCATGACAGAAGCGTCGCCACCCAAATTCCTGTCCATAAAGGAACCCTAACCCCCCCTTAAAGGAACCCATAAAGGAACCCTAAACCCCCCTTAAAGGAACCCATAAAGGAACCCTAAACCCCCTTAAAGGTATGGGCTGGGTTTTTACGGTTTAGGGTTTAGCGACGGGCAGGCGCTCTTACAGGAGGTCGGTGCCATCGCGGCGCGGGCCAAGGCCCGGATTCACAAGAAGACCACTGAAGCTCGGCTGGTTCGAGGGCTTTGAACTGCGTGATGTATCACAGTCATGATCAGGTCATCAATAATCCGACCTTCCACATAGTCGATGAGCTGAGACTTTGGAGCATAAAGATTCAGGGTGTGGGGCTTAATTAGGTTTTAGTTTAGTCATTGGTGAGTTTTACCAGCATTGAAGATGTTTTTTGGATTCTGATGGTCTCGGACAGGAGGGTCAAGCTTCTTGCTGCTGCTGCTGCCTTTTCGCTATCATTCTAGAGACCTTGGCTGAGGCTTTGGGGTTTGGTGTTGATTATGCGGCTTGTGTAAATCGCAGCGGTGCATATCCTTATAGCAAGTAGTCCACGTATTCCGCCAAAAAGCTAATCTATCCCTTTAAAGGGAACTCCAGAAAGTTGGAATATGGATGAATGGTAGGATCCCCTGTAATTTACCTTAAAGGGGATACGATAATGATATTCCAACTTTCTGGCTTCTACTGTAGGGCCGCGATTTTGGATTTTCCAACACTTCTTCAGACTGAGGACCCAAATCGGACCGAGCCAGCAGAGGCCGATTCCATCCTCTACCGAGTCTCTTTTTAACTTACCTTTGGTTAGTAGGGAATGGAAGAATGGTAGTAATGATAGTCATAATTGTACCCCATTCCTCCATTACTAACCAAAGGTAAGTTAATCCCGCGGCTCTGCAGGAGAACTTTTAAGAGGAATTGACTGTTGCTCCCTTCGTGGGGGGTGGCGGTGCTTGCATGCCCAACGTCTTGCCCCGTCGCACCGTGGAAGAACATGATCGTGCCCGTTCCGTGGTTTTGCGTCGATGTTTCCGGAAGTTTTTGTGACGATGGCTCCCGAAGGGACACGGTGTCCTGCTCAACTGAGATTCCATTTTCCCTCAGCCGAAGGTCTGCCAGTGGATTTCTGGGATTTCGTTCCGGTTGGCCGCGTGAAGCGAGCAGATTTGTTTGGATGTTCTCGGAGCTCATCTGCATGCTCGATGCTACCATTGGTATCCTTGTCATGTAGGAGGGTGTAAAAGAAGTGCTCCTGGGTGAGATACCCGAGGCCTTCAACCCTGATATGGACGCCTTTATGACTACCTATACTATTGTGGGGGTTCCTTATTAGAATCAATACCCCCAAATCCCAAACTCTATTCTAACTGTTAAGGCCCCTAGACTAAGCCCTAGACTCTGAACTAGACGGCGGAGGTTTCTGTCGTTGATCTGGTGGTTGTGCCCGACTGTGTATGGGAAAAGAAAGGTTTTCGTTTCAGATCTCCAGGGAAAAGGCATGAGCACCTGCAGATGGTTCAGTTGAACTGAGACGTCCGCTTTCCAATCTACTAGGTTTCTATAGAAAACCCAGTAGAAGCTTTTCAAACCAGGGATTTCCCTGCCGACCTCAAGCTATGAAAAAGACGAGAGCTTCTTGATACCAAGACCAAACCCGAAACCTTAAGCCCGGACTGTCCGTGCTCGAGCTTCAGCTTTCCGAAAGCACGAAAAGCTTGACCCGTTTGGGGCATGGCCTGGCATGCCTTGTACCGGAGCTTACGAGATGGGGCATCCTAGCTGCTTCTAGCTGGTCCGATTGAAACCCCAGCGGAGACTCGTCAGCCTTTACAGATGCATGTCAACCGCAGCACCATGTGCGCGACCTTACGGGACAGATGCATTATCCGGGAAGCATGCTATTTGGTGCACCCTGTGAGCGACAGTACGATGCTGCTGTAATAGCAATGACTCCTAGTCCACGGAATCCATAGACGAAACCAACACTGAGTCGTGCGTAGCATCTGGACGGCAAGCCATGGATACTGGGAATCCCGTTATTTTGGGTGTGCGACCTTGCGAGATATATGGGTGGTTGTCAAAATTATGGTCCCTTTTTGGATACCCTAAATATTAGGTGCCGTACTATTTTGGGGGACCCAAGGAGGGACCCTAATTTTGACAACTATATGTATGGTTAGGCGTCTGGCGTTCCTGATCTCCCCCCCTCCCCCCCCAAGGTCTGGTAGGGTGGGCGGGAAGGTTTGGTCTGGGCGCATAGGGATCGGACGGTCCTCGGACGTGTTGAAACGAAAATATAGAAGTACTTGACCAATTGAAGAAAAAGGTTAGATTTCGTTTATAGATTTAAGTATGGATCAGGGTTCGGATTTCGTATTGAAGGCTAAAGTAAAGAAAGTTTATATTGAATTATAAAATATAAGTAATATCTATTCATAGAGAAGGTTTAGGAAATTTTTACTCACGCGTTCCGCGCCCCCCCCCCCCGAGGAATGCATACCTGCGCTCTGGTGAGACAAGAGTCCGTCTGTGAAGCGTGGTGCTGTGGAGTTCGAGGGTAGGAATTTGGTTACATGTTGCAGCGCTTTGCACTCTGGCCTTGCCTGTGATGGGTCGGTGGGTTGGGGTTCTAAAAGGTCATGTTTTCTGTATGCTTTCCTCAATACAAGTACACAAAAAAGGAAAATCATTTTTTGAAAGTACTTGTATGGCGTAAAACCGTAAATACAACATCAAATGCAGTAAAAAGTAAAATGTTCGGGTTCATGTATTGGCTTTAATATAAATATACATATATATATATATATAAACTAAAAAATGCATACCTGCGCTCTGGTGAGAAAAGAAACCTTTTCTAAAACTCATATTTTCTTTCTGCTTTCCCCAATACAAACACACTCGGCCCGAGTTTGCCTGCAGGGAGTGAGTTGGATACAGCTTGACGGCCGCAAGTGCGTAAAGTGCAAACCACTATGCAACAACACGCTCGCTGAGGTGAGCATCTAAACGGTATCATCGATACCAAACCCTCACGCATCTATATATATATATATATGTACACACACACACACACACATATCTATCGTGGCTTCGGGTTAAGAACGCCCACATTTCAACCAACATCATTTTCTAACCTGCATGGTTGCCGTAAAGGATGATGCTAGAGATTCTAGGCTTTGACGTTATCAGTTAATAGGGTTGTTAAGAAGCTCTCCCAGCCGGTTGCAAAGTGGGAATTCCGGAAAGGCTCATGGGTTGTAAAGTGGGGGTTCTGGTTGTAAAGTGGGGATTCTGGTTGTAAAGCGGGGTACACGCCCCCCCCCCCCCGTTGCCTGTAGTGGGGAGTGTGGGGTCTTTGTTCCCCCTGCGGTTGGGCGGTGTTGGGGTTTAGAGTTTAGCTTAAGATTTTGAGTTTTGGGTTCATTCTTAGCAAGTACTAGGTTTCGATCGATACGGGCTAGATTCGTTAGGGTCGACGATTCATATTCTTGTATGAGGCGGGGGATAGGCTTTCGTGTAGGGTCTAAATCATAGATTGAAATTAGTAAATATAGGAGCATACGCTATCTTGTTTTTTTATGATATTCAAATTTGAGTGATAGGATAGGGGGAACGAAAATTAACTGGACGAAAATATTCTATTAGGCGTCAAAATTTTTTTTTTAAGATTTATTTGCAAATTAGAGTCAAATAGAGAAGAAAAAAGGGATTATCATGATCATTTATATCCTTCGATTTACGAGATTTGGACTCTAGGCGGGGATTACAAAAACGAGATCTAGTCGTTCTCATCTTTTCTTTATTCTTCTCTTCTATTTCTTTCTCTTCATCTTATATTTGATTTATCTATATCGTCTTTTATATTTTATTCATATCAATGAAAATTTGAGATTTAATTTTCTATTACTAACTAAAGTCTGTATATAAAATATTCTATATAGAGAAAGAAAATCGTGGGCGGATATCGAGAAGCTTCGCCGTTCTAATGATTCTGACAAGAAGGGAAATTAATGAAGAGGTAGAGAGAGAGGGAGAAAGAAGAGAAGAAAGATAAAAAGAAAGATATTAAATAAGAAAGGTTCTCTTCTATAAAATTTCTTTCTGATCTGGTTCTCTTCTGTCTTCTCTCTTTCTTTCTTCATCTCTAATCCTAAAAAAATCGAATGAAATATGAAGTTTAATAATGACGATAGAAAATTTCGATATGATCGACGATTCTGATGAGAAGAAATATGAGATATCGAAAATTATATAAAACTAATTATTAGAAAAAATTTTCAATTATTTTCCTCGGATCATTTACGAAATCTATTGAAAAATCGGGTTCTTATCTCTTTGTTCTATTCTATATTCTTTTCTCTCGTCTTGATCTCTATATCTCTATTTCCTTTCTCTTATCTCTCTCTTAATCTTTATCTTCTATCCTCGCTAAATCGATTAGAAGCAGGGCATAATATTAGTATTTTTTATTTTTCTTCTTGAAGACTAGTATTATTAATAATAATAGAATTCGGCAATAAAAAAAATTATCACCAATTTTCTTCTAGAAACGCCGCAAATTTAAAAATAGCTACAATTGCGCGGAAACCGTCTAATTTGATGGAGAGTACTATTATTTCTATGAATCAGCCTTAAAATATCTCAGATTTTCGGTATTTCTGATTCGAATATAAATGATACATTTAGAAATAGATTCTATTAATAAAAATAAATTGAATCGCACGTTTGTCGTTATAGATATCGAAATTAGCGATAATTCACGAATCTACGAATATCGAATATAAATATCATATTTATGATCAGAATTTAGAAATATAAACTCGAATCATAAAAACGAATAGAATACGAATCAAACGCGATTTAGATACGATTTATTTCTAGATTCGAATCGGATCCGAGTCAGATACGTTTTAGATACGAATTTTTTGCGAAATATATGCGAGTCGGATACGAATCCAAATACGAATCGTTACGAACAAGATATGAAGCGGCCACGAATCAAAAAAACCAGATACGGTCCAGATACGAAATCAAATGCCAGTCAGACGCGAACTAGATATAAATCCCGACGCGAACCGAATATGAATCCGGAAAAATTAATCCAGATACGAATCCGATAAGAATAATCATTGAATTACTTCGACTTTAGATAATGAAAATACTAAGATAGCAAGATCAGGCATCGACTTCATTTAAAGAATATTTAAATGCCTATAATCAGGAGAAAGAGCATATCTCCTGAGAATCTATAGATCTTTTATTTCTACGAATAAATTCAATATTCTAAGATCGTATAGATTTCAATATTGCTAAATTCAATATAATCTTCCTAAATATCTTGAAATAATATATATATTATAGCCTGAAATACCGGGTAACAATAAATTTCAATATCATAAAAATTGTATTTTAACTAATTTGATAATAAAAAAAAAAAAAAAGACAAAACGAATATGTTGCAATATTCTACGATGCTATAAGATCCTATATATTTGCAAATATTTTCAACTAAAATCACATTTATATATACATGTCCTTATTTTTTCCCCCAATCTCCTTAACTTCGAAGTAATCCCCATTATAATTATATTTCAAGAAAATAATATCTTATTTAAATTCGAAATCCAATAATTCAAATATCTTAACAATCTAGTCAATATAGTATATTCAAAATAGATTAATAAAAATATTCCTATTCGTCTTCAATCTTCTATAAGTAATGCGAATATATACATATATACTATGAAGAATCAAGAATTCAAACAATAATATTATTATTTAATTTTATTTTAT